GTGAGTGAGTGAGTGAGTGAGTGAGTGAGTGAGGGAGTGGAGTGAGTGAGGGAGTGAGTGAGTGAGTGAGGGAGTGAGTGAGTGAGGGAGCGAGGGAGTGAGGGAGCGAGGGAGTGAGCGAGTGAGGGAGTGAGTGAGTGAGTGAGTGAGTGAGTGAGTGAGTGAGTGAGTGAGTGAGTGAGTGAGTGAGTGAGTGAGTGAGTGAGTGAGTGAGAGAGTGAGAGAGTGAGTGAGAGAGAGAGAGTGAGTGAGAGAGAGTGAGTGAGAGAGAGTGAGTGAGAGAGAGTGAGTGAGAGAGAGTGAGTGAGTGAGTGAGTGAGTGAGTGAGTGAGTGAGTGAGAGTGAGTGAGTGAGTGAGTGTGAGTGAGTGAGTGAGTGAGTGAGTGAGGAGGGAGGGAGGACGGGAAGGAAGGAGGACGAGGAGGAGGAGCGGATACAGAACTAAAAACAAAAACCCCACACGTCAATGTGGGGAAAAAACCTAAATATGGAAAATCACCATGCTATTAATGGGAAAACTCACTGTTTCTATGGCAATTTTCAATAGTTATGTAAACGTTTACCAGAGGGTAAATGGAAGATGTTCCTGCACGCCAGCTCAATGCACTAAACTAGAGCGCTCCGAAAAAATGATTCCCCAGGACTTAGCCAGAACTTGTGCTGGACAGTCGGAGAGAAGCCTGGCTGCATTGGAAAGAACAGGTTGAGGGTTTTTTGGGCGTGCAGAATAGATCCAGTACTAAATTATAGGTTTCCGTGGCTTATTTAATATTAGGGGAATGGAATTTGTTTATTATGTGAGTAATTAAATCACTATTATACCCATTAAATCATTATATATCCCACTATTTTTAACACTATTCTAGTAGGATATCTCGCTATATCTATCTCTATAAATATATATGAGTACATATTTTTCCAATTGTTTCTATCTTTTTGGGGTTTGCCAAAATCGCCACACACTGTCAGGTTACGAGAAGTTGCTGAAGCGAAGGCAGCAGGAGGTCCGACACTTGCAGGAGCCAGACCCAAGTTGTCTAGGTCGGGTTCCCCTATGAGCTGCATCTTAAATACCTATGAACATAGCAATCCATAGATGTGTTTCCTCCATTTTGCTGCTTATATCCTCATAGCGCGTGGTGTCCCTGTGTTGGTCGTGTGTTTCCAGGTTTTCTCGGTGTGTTTGTTGCAATCTTTACTTTCACAGCTCAAAATCGGCAGCTTCTTTTTGAGGGTTAACACACCCTCTAGGAGTCAGTGAAGTTTCTGCAAGCTACAGATGAGGTCACAGTTGGCTGTGCTGTTGGCGCCAAAACGATGAGTTCTTGAAATCTGGAAATTTGGTAAATCGAATCCCCAAGATCCTATAGAAATCTATAGAACAATACTGGTTGGTGGTTTGGAACATTTTTTATTTTCCATATAATGGGAATAAACAGATCCCAACTGACTACAAGTCATATTTTTCAGAGGGGTAGGGCTCAACCACCAACCAGAATATGTGCTATCTATTTTTGGGGGTGCTGGTGTGATATAGATAGATGATGCTACCAGGATTGGTTGCTTCTGGATGTTGTGATATGTTGCGTGTTTAGGAATGATTTATGAGGATACCCTCTGGTGAACTAACATAGCAATTGAAAATGGCCATTTATAGTGGATTTTCCCATTAAAAATGGTGATTTTCCATTGCTATGTTAGTTCACCAGAGGATACCATCAATGCAACTGGGCTGGTAGTGAAACCACGCGATTGGTTTCTTGGGATTGAAGCGGAGTCTCCGCTGGGTGTGAAAATTCATCCAGGATTCGGCAAACGATTTGTATCGCATGTGTTATGTCAAGTTGACTATCGGACTAGGTTTTGATTTATATCCATTTATGGTTCATTTATAGTTATTTGGCTTGGAGTTCATCAAGTGAAGATCAGAAGTTGTTTCCAACCGTTGGTTCCAGTGGGCTGGTATGGAATCCCACTGGGGACACTTGTGAGGAGATGGGCTAACAACAATGTAGGTGCAACCTTCCTTAAAAAAAACATAGTATCCCTATTCCCATTCTACAGTGTAGATATACCATGATATAGAATTCACCATTGTGCTAAACTGCCAAACCAACTTAGCTAACAAATATAAACTACCAATCCCATTCAACAAACACCAAGCTGGCGAAATCAACATTTTCCTTATGGTGTTTGGGGGGGAGTAGCACCTTGGCGAAGTCGCTCAGATGTCCAACACCGTGGGGAAGTTGCAGTACCGCCTCTTGCTGAGCCAGTCGGCTGGCCAAAGGGACGGATGTCCCAGGTTAGTTTTACCGGTTGAAGAAAGGTGAAAATGGAGATTTAACCGTTTAACCCATCCAAAAATGGGGAAACATTGGATTTCACATTGCTAATCCTCCATGTTTTCTGAGTTAAATACCAATGTTTGGCTAACCCATCGAAAATAACTCAGAAAAAATGGAGGATTGGGGGATAGATCAACTCGATGGACCTTAGAGACCAACTACTGGTAGAACTCTGGGACTTTTTGAGTTTAGAATGGGAACATCTTCGGGTATAATTTAAACAAAGATATTTGGGGTGATCTTCATGGGTATAGCTATGGCATCGGATTTATGCTGGATATCTACAGATATCTACAGTTGGAATATCTACAGTTGGATGGGCAAGTGCCAATGATACCAAGGCAGACCCATTTTGCCAGCCATCTTGATGCGATAAAGTTGAGGAGATGTTAACTCCCTTGGGACAAAATGGGATGTGGATACCAGCGGCATGACCTCTAAGGTGGGAAAAGGGCAACCTGCAACGTCAGCTCCAAGCTGCATCTTGGACTCACTGTTTGCGAAGATTGGGAGTCTTATCTTATTTTGCTTCGGGAACCTTGGATGGATACATTAGTACTTCATTTCTTTTCCTATGCATATGAGTGTATCAGTGACAGCTTCCTTTTTGGTTAAATGGAGAGTAGTGTTGGGGCGTACCGCGGTTTGTCGGAAACATCATAATTAGGTTGTAAAACGAGGTAGGAACACCCCAAGTACGAGGTAGGCATCGTATGTAAAGCATTTAGCTATTAAATGATTAAAAACGAGTGCGGCGTTGGAAAACGCGGTCAGACATGATCAGGCCCCAAAAAAGCTACGGGACTGGAAAGCGAGGTAGGAACACCCGGTCAATTGCGTGATGTATCAAATATCGTCTGCGGCTTGTATATAGACCTATAATATAGGTATACATTCAATCATTTATAATATACATATATATATATATATATATTATATATATATATATTATATATATATTATATATATATACATATTATGCCATCCAACTATGTTTCCTACACAAGTTGAGGGTTCACCAACCAAGATGGAAAGATTTAGGCAACAATCCCATGACTGAAATATACAAGGAACCATACACAAGTGCATTCCACTTTGCAACTGGCTTAGCTAATCACTCTGCTTCAGTGGTATGTTGCAGTCGCCCACTCTACGCAACTCAATCCCGTGGAGGTATCACAGGGTTCCCCCAACGATGCTGGGCTAGACATCACAGGTAACCTCGAAGGCCGAAATGACGCTCCACTAACATGGCACAAGACATTTGAGGCGCAGAAAATGTCTAAATGAAAAGGTCTAAATTTGATGCATGGAGTCATCAAATAAATTGTAAGTTGAGAGAGCACTCCAGGCCCTCAAGAAGCGCAAGAACATACCGCCATTATGGCGGTGCGGCGGTATGGGTGAGTTCTGTGGGTGATACTATGTCAAATGCTCTAGGACTCATGAGATCAGCATGTCCCAGGAAATGTTTGCCAAGAAGTGAGGGCCTGCATCCTCAAAGAGTTCACAAAGATTCGAAAAGCAGAAATTCAGGGGCTCAGACACTGAAAGATAGAGGGTCTCCGGCTTGTTTTCAGCCACTGCTAAGGGGATGTTCCATTGTCCACCGAACTGATTTGGTTGGTATATGATTGAACATGTTTAAACACATGATACAGTCTATCATGCAATGTTGAACCCCATTGAGGGGATGATTGTCCTAGCTCAAAAACCCGTGTTCAGGGCTTGAAACCGCCAGCTGCTTGTGTCTAGAAACGGAAGCCTCGCTATGTTGGTCAAGTCAATATCTATATATATAGATATATAGATATATATATATATAATTATATATATGTATATACAAGCAAAGCAGATGCACATGTCTAAGTATTGCCCACTTCAGATGCAGAGAAGATTGAGATAGTTGGTCTTGCAAGTCACAAGATCAGAGTTCACAAAAAGGTAGGTCTTGGGGGGGGTAGCATAGTAGCATATATATATGTATTATATATATATATATGTATACATTCCGACCGAATCCGATATTCCAATCCGAGCGGGGAGCAGGGTTCAAAACCCCTTTGTCATTCCATTCTGTTGGTTGGTTGAGAAGCGGATTCCCAATTCATGGATGATGATCATATGAGTCATATTTCATAATTCACAATATATTGGATGGGTTGCATGTATAGTAGAATCTGTAAACATCAACCACCACGATCTTTTAACATCAGTTGATATAATCGTTAGTCACTTCTACCATTGTATCCCGAAATACCCCAAGGATATAATGATATGATATCCCATGATATTCCAGTTTCGACCCACTCCACCTTATACCTCCAACATCTACTCTCCACTGCTGTCCACTGCTGACAATCCCTAAGGCTGTTGCCGATCTGAGGGAAGCACGTCGTGATGTCCTCGACAATGAAGAGCAGGTGCTGGTTTTTGGATGACTCTGTGGTGGTTTTAGGCTCAACCTTGGATGGATACTTTGGTGACTTTAGTGTGAACGGAGATATGTACTAACCTTTTTTTTCGCATGGTACCGGTATCCAAGATAGGCCATGCGTTAAATGGCGGGTTTAGACTCCAAGACAACAGGCTGAGAAATCTCCATGTTTGACAGCAAACTCATCTGTGAATAGATATGTTTGGATAGAATAGAACAACCTCACAGTGACGTCACCAGAAATGATGGGTAGGATAGGTGTAGTCATTCCCAAGTGGTGGTTAATGAAGGTAACCAATGTTGGTAAAGCAATGTTGGAAATTTCCCCATATGTTGATGCTTTATCTCCATTTATGGTGAAATTGGCGATGGTGAACACTATTGCTTTACTAACATTACCATCTGGTTATGACTAACATAGCCATGGAAAATCACAATTTTTCATAGGTAAACCATCTATAAATGGGCCACGAGACCCCTAAACTGGTGTTATGGCTGTTATGGGGATGTCTCAAAATTCCGGTGCTCCACGGCCTTATATCATGAATGAAACATGTAGAGTTTGGGGCACCCCTATTTTGAGCATTCCCATGTATGGTCATAACCCCTATGAATCAACCAGTGTAATGAAATGGCAGGGGGTTCTGAACACTGCTCAATAGTTTTTTTTTCTTGGCAAATATCTCCGCGTATTTTGGTTTTAATCCCTGTCTGTGGAAACAAGCAACATGCCATTTTCATGAGTTGATGTTGGAAAAACAAACATTTTTGGCAAACCATTGGTTGGTACGCATGGTACTCATCCACAAATGTTTGTCCATGAATGAAACGCTATTTTTGCAACAGCATATCCACTTTTGGGTCACTGATCGGGAAACACATTGATTTCTAGTCCACAATATAAATGATAATATGGGAAGATATAATATTATATATAAATAATGCATTTGTTTGACATATATATATATATATTTAAACATCTACATATGTTTAGATGATGTTTCATGATCTTACTAGTCGTTGCTGTCCACTGCCTTGGCTGGCGCAGGTGGAACAAGAACGGCAGCAGCATGACGAAACTGAGGAGACAAGGGAACTTGAGAAACAAAGGTGTTCAATGCTGCTTTATGGAAATCATAGTTTCAAGATACTTTATGAGAACTTCATTGATTTTCCACAAAGTGATTTCCATTGATTTTCCACAAAAGTCATAACTTCATTGTTCAAAACTTGTGATTTCCATTGATTTTCCACAAAGTCATGAACTAAGTTATGATGGCGAAGAGTCAGGACGAACATCAGGAAAAGAAAGCACCGTATTTGACCCATAGGAAGATCTTCAACGATGTTTGTTTGTATTTTTGGCATCATTGATCATCCAGTTGATGGATGTATGATGATATGATATTCTATAGATTTCTATAGCATATATACATATATAATCACATATATATATATATCAGTATATTTGAAGACGGGATATTAAATGATCCAGGGGTATGGGAAAGCTATACAGTACAAAGGTGGTATCAGCTCGATAAATGTTTTTGTTGTCCAAATATTTACCATGAAAAAATCGAAAGTGGGATGCACATGGGGTTTGTTGACCATCAAACATTGGATATGAAGAAAATTAAGCAAGTTAACAGCTGGCTATTGACTGTTACTGAAGGATAGATTTGGCAGGCTAGTTGTTAGTATTTTGTCCCTGATATTTTTTTCCCCGGGTAATTTCAGTCTGTACCCATATCCTTGAAGATCTTCAGACTACACAGTTCACTACTCGAACCCAAAAAGTCTTGCTAATTTCCTTGGGAAAAAAAGAACAAAAAGTTCGCCTTTCCAAGGGAAAGTCCGAAAATCCCATCGAAGGAACAGCTTCAACAGCAGCTTTTGCTGTTAAAAGCCAAAACTGTGAAGCTCCAAGATGAAACTTCTGCGTCCATGCCCATCGACAAGGCGTCAACGCGCTGACGTTGTGGGGGAGGAAGCAACCATTTTGTGGAAATGCAATGGGGATCTAATGGGATATAAATATAATATATATATAATGTAATATAATATATGTAATATATATATATAAACAAGAATGTGTATTTTGTCTATCTATAAAGAATTATAGACACTCTCTGGTAATCAGCCACATGCTTGGCTAGAAATTACCCAATGATTTCCTATCAAGACCTGCATAGTATTTACGGGGATTTCCCAGCCAACCATATTTTAGGACACCGAATGATAGGATGAGGCGAGGTAGCTGACCCGACAAACAAAGTTGTCTTCGCAACGAGTGCGTCTTGATCCCTTGTGAAAAGACTTTTTCTGGATTTTCAATTCTTGTTTCTTTGCACCATTATTCCATACTGTGAACAGTGTTGTTTTTTTTTCTAGCCACGGGTAGGTAGATTAGCCCTATTGATGGGAAAATCCAGTATATCCACCTGATATTTCTGGATCAATGTGTATATCTATGTATATCTAGGTCTAACCATAGTTATAGGATGTTATAGGGTTATATATATATATTCCAACTTACGGTGGTTATTCCCACAGTTATATCGTTTTATAGTCTCAACTGCAGTCCCATGAGCCGATGAACCGCAGCAAGCCACCAGAGCGATGCAGGCACGGCAGCTCACATCCAGACTCGAAGAGATTTCCAGTCGAAAGATGGAATTGGAGGCGGGTCGGGGGTCAGGAAAAGATGTGGTCCACGTTATGGTTCTTTTTTTGGGGGGGGGTATGAAGCAGCAAAATTAATGATTAGACATGATTTAATCAACAAAACATATAATGTGATATAAGTGGGGTATAATGGATAACCAGTGAAATTTGATGCTTTCTTGTTGGAACCTCAGGTGTGATTCGTTTATGTCGAGGTCGAAGCTTTTCCTGGAGATTGATGGAAACATGATCGATTCAATCATGTGTTTGCGGGGTCATCCAATATATAGATGAAAGACAGTCTTCCAGCTGAGTTTACATATAACATTGGGTGCTTAGTTACCAGCAAGGTGCTGTTCTGAGGGACTGTTCTATTTGATTCGTATTTTGATTGCCTCTACGACTACATTCTCTACATCCTGCTTGAAACCTCGGTTCGGTTGGCCCTAGTTGTTTGCACAGCCTTGAAAGGGACTTCGCTGTTTGAGCTGAAGCATTTAAAAACAGTAATATATGCTGACAATTGAAATAAATCATTAATAAATCTATATTTCCTGGGGAAAATTATCATTGCTACTTCCATGGTGGAGCGGAGATGCAACCGCTCTGCAGAGGAGCGGCTTTCCAAAGTAAGACTGGAACTGCTCCGGAACCAGGCGTGCGGTGGGTTTGACAAATATGTACGCCCGCTGGGTTTGCAGTCAACAGAACATCAGCAATGTGACTCGCGTTAAAAGTTGTTTCATCCAGGGAAATGGGATTAGAAGTGACGACACTAGTGATAGAACCAATAAATGGTGGCGGGATACACGACTTGAAGAACTTATCACCCTGGAATGCACGGCCAAGTACCTGCTGAGAATCACTTGGACATCAGGCCGCATCCAACACGGAGCGTTTGTTTGCCATGTTAAGATGTTTCTTTATGCCATAGATTGCCATAGTGAAATGGCCCGTTTGTAGATGTTTTGCCTATTAAAGCTGATGGTTTTCCATGTGTTACTAGGGGATACCATCTTCAAAAGTTCAGCTGAGGAGCCGCTGGAACGTGACAAGATCCGACCTTTCACAAACGCAGCTGGTTGATGCTGATTGATTCAGAAATGATCGCTCTATCAATACTATCAATACTATCAATACTATCAATCAGATAAATATATATATATATACTGTACTATCAGATAAAATATACTGTATAGATCTGTATAGATCTGTATAGTGATTAGTGATGAACATGATTGTCTACTACTCATTCAATCAGTGAATGAGTCAATGACATTCAATGACATTCAATGACTCTATCATTCAATCGCTTTATCCATTGACTTCTCCACGCTTGATCAGTTGATCCCAACCAGCTTGAGAGCCTGGCTTCGAAGCAATATGAATGTGACATGTCATCCTGGGACTGGGGATGTTTTTCTGTGTTGTTAGCGGCTCCCATTGGGGCCCAGTTCCATGCCCTGACCCCGGAAAAGAGCGAAATTAAAAGAGCTGACATGACAACCAGCCCAGTTCACCTACTTCGCTGTGTTCCTTTTCAGAAGCCATCCATCCCCCATGTTCATGTTGGTCTTTACTTGTTCAGAGAAACAGAGAAACAGGGTTATTTTCTCCATACTCAAAACGACTGAAATGTTCGCATATTGATATGACCCATTTTAGCGTATCCTGGAATGCGTATATAAGTGGTCTAGAATGTCAGTATACTTTGAGCCAGTGACTGTTTTCTTGTAACTTTGATGCTTTTCGGGGTTTCGCGCCAAAAAGCAGAAAGGTTACGATTTGGCTCCATAAAGGAAGCATCGATGCCTTTCAAAGTGATCTAGATACCCGAAAAGTGACGTCAATACAATACATGCAATTCCTACGCCCAAAAAGTATGCTTTCCAGTGAATATGAAAAGGGTACACAGTGGCGCAGTGACCGATATCATGGTACTGATGTACTGTGCATTCGTTTGACACCCATTATAAATCCCTTAATTCCAGATAGTTGCAGATGAAATTCCAACGTTTTGGTTGAGTTGAGTCAGGTTACCCTTTGGTAAACGTTTATATAACTATGGAAAATCACCATTTTTCATGGATAAATCCACTATTTCAATGGCCATGTTCAATAGCTTTTTGTATGTTTACCAGGCCGGCGAAATCCCAAGCGTTCCACCTATATATCTTTTTTCGGCCCCTTGACGAAAACCCGTAAAGCTTTGCGGTGTTTACTAAACCGGTCGAGGCCGAGACGGATGAGTGTCGCTTGAAGGCTCAGCAAGCGCAAGAGCTCATGAAGGAATTGAAGGCACGGAGCTGAGGATTTTGGATTTTTGAGAAATTTTGGGACATGAATACTATGGCGATTCATTCCATTGAAATATCCATAATTATGGAATATGAATACATTTATTAATGATATGAAAATTCAATGGCAACTAATATGGTGGAAAAATATGGAGAAAAAACATTGGATCGGTTTAGGGAAAATCTTCAGGAAACCATGTTTTTTACCATTAAATGTGGGTGTGTTCCTGTCATTTTTCCTGTAAACCAATCCAATGAATGATATGAAATGGAATAACATATGGGGAATATATTTAATTTATTGATACTTTTTTTTTGGGGGATATACAACCAATAGATTAGCCCCGAGGGAATACAACTGGCCAAAAAAATATGAGACCCTTGGGTCTGTCTGAAAAATGGGTGTCATATCACCCAGCTGGTAACTGGATGTAACTGGTACTTAGCTGGCCCAGCTAGTACTTCGGGGAGCAGTTCCAGTGAACAAAGTAGAGATTAGTGGATATATCCCAGCATAGTTACAGAGGTTATATCCCAACCTATAGTCTTTCTACGTCTTTCTACAGTTATACCGCAACTCCCAGTATTTGGACATAAAAGGAATCTAACATTTTCATTGCAGGAAGGTGCCACCAAATAAACTAGTTCGATATATCAACCAAATAGGTAGAAACCAACAAAACTCAACAAAAAACAACAAATTAGATGTTTCCTGTGTTGACAGCATCATTCCCTCATATGTGTCATGATTCAGTCCCAATGTTCCCATAGTTTCGATGGCATTGTTTTTCCCCATATGTGTCATGGTTTAATCTCAATGCTCCCGCACTTTTCATGGTTAAATCACACTTTTCCAATTGTTTGATGCTTCGATTCCAATTAAACCATATTAAACCAGCCTTTTTCTGGGTTAGTTTTCACCCCGTATATATGTCATGATTCAATCCAAAAAGTTTTCCAGATGTTGAAGGCTTATTTCCTCAATTTCCCTATGATGTTTGATGAGTTTCCCATCATAACTGGTTGGTGGTTTGAAACAGCCATGATTGCCCAATGCTACCAGCAGCTGCGGCCGTCCACCACTGATCTTGGGCAGGTATCTTTACAGGGTTTTGCCATGGCTTCATTCCCCATGACGTTCGCTGATCATGCTGTAGGTGAGAAGGTCTCCCTGGTTTCGAAATTGTGTTGCTTTGACCCATGTCATGAAGCTCACATTATGGAAGCTCTGTATGACAAGGTGACGTTCAAACTGCATGGATTACTGGATGGTTCTCATGAGCGATTTAGCCTGATGAATGTTCGATATCAGCAGCAATATCCAACTCCGATTTTGGCACTGGAACATGATTGGCTGCTTCAGACAATTGAAGATCCCCCTGCCTCCATACTGACAACGACACATGGTGAAGTGGTGATTTCACGACATAGGTCGCAGAGCTTGCAGTCCAAAAGTGCGAGGGTTCACACGGTCGGCGCGGCCAGCACGATCTCCTTGTGCGGCAAGGATTCTCAGCTGAAGGCTGGTGATGACCCGTGGATTGCACAAGATCCTTGGAAACAGTATACCCAGGGCAAGTCTGCCTCATGCATCCCAAGTGCCAGTGATGGGATTCAGCAACTTGCTGATAGGATCCAGAATGAAGTCCTTCAGAAATTGCCGGCTATGACCCAGATGGAACAGGATGACATGCCAGAACGTTTGTCCACCCTGGAGAATCAGGTTCAGCAGCTGATGGGACAGCACAAGGCTTTGGATCAGAATGTGCAGGATTTGTCAAATCAGAATGCTCAGCAGTTCGCAACGATGCCATGCCAATTGACCCAGCAGAGCCAACAGTTGCAAGGTCAAATCGATGGGCACTGTCAGAATATGCAGGCACTGATGGAACACCAAATGGTGCAGATCCGAGGCCTTCTGTCGAAGCGCCCCCGTGATGAGTCCAGTATGGAATGACGGTATGGGGAAGGGTTTCCTAGACAAGGAAGTGTGTGCATTTTGGTTTGCCTGCTCACATTAGGTTGTTTCATGGGAGCCCTGATCCCCACAGTTTGTGCAATCGCCTTTTACATGTTTTTGCAGATGACCGTGTGTCAACCCAGGCAGTCGGCTGTGAAGGTAAGACCATGGAGGTTTTTCATTTTGATGTCTGCTGGGCTTCTGCGAATTGGGGAAGCATCAAACCCTGGGCCTCCTGCCCACTTTGATGAAAAGATGTTTCACATTGGTACGTTCAATCCCTCAGGTCTTCGTGCAAGGGTTTGGATTTCTTCAGTGTAGGCTGAACACCTGAAAACCGGGTTGCCAGCGATCTCTCTGGTGACGCGTTCGACAAAGTGGTGACAAAGTGGTGGTTTGAAACATTTTTATGACTTTACATTTGTATTGGGAATTTCATCATCCCAACTGACGAAAACATATTTTTCAGAGGGGTAGGTATACCACCAACCAGATAAAATGGGGTTCTCTTTTCGCGGTAAATCGCTACTGCAGGCCTTGGAACAATCCGATGATGAGGGAAATCCGCAGCGGCGCTTGCTGGAAATGGCCAAGAAGTTAGCGGATTCCAAGCTGAAGGAGCGGCAAAAGTTGTGATCCTCCTCTGTACTACCAAAATTTAATACTGTAGGTTCATTAGATGTTTAAAACAGATGGATTAAATCTGCACATGTTAAAGGTTTCTTACATGGATATTTTTTTGAAATATAGATTGTATTAATATCCTCATCTGGTTGGTGGTTTCAAACATTTGTTATTTTCCACAATATATGGGATTATCCTTCCCATTGACTAATATTTCAGAGGGGTTGAAACCACCAACCAGCTCATATTGGGGGACGGTCATCACTGGATGTATGACCATCCATGTAGCATATTTTGATCCGGATCCGCATCGATGTTTTTTTATTGGGATGTGGAGGATGTCATGGTTGATTTAAGCCTTAACACTGGGGATAATATGGGATAATTAATACATATATATAATAATATATATATAATAATATATATAATAATAATAATAATATATTATTATTATTATATTATATTATATATATATATTATATTATATTATTATATTATATTTTATATTACATATTATATATTATATATTTTATATTTTATATTATATTTTATTTTATTATATATTTTATATTATATTATATTATACTATATTATATCATATATTATATATTATATATTATATATTTTATATTATATATTATATCTTATATATTATATTAAATATTATATTATATTATAATATATTATATTATATTCTAATATATATATATATTATTTTATACATATATATATATATAAATTATCATATATATATATGGGTAAATTATAACGACCGAACCCTGTTCTCCCGAACCCTGGAAATCATGGTTAATTTTATGGGAAATCATCCCCACATGGCCGAAAAAAATTAGGTTGATGAATCATTATAATTTACCCGGATATATGTGTCATCCTGGTGGGCCCGCAAGAGAAATGCTGAATTTACGGTTGGATGTTTGAGGCATTTCACAAAGCATCACATTTTCAGCAAGTGGATGTTGAATGTTCAGAGATGTTTCATGGATGAAGATCGATATCCGGGATGATGTGGCAAATATTGACTTTCAACCATATGCCACATCTCCCGCATCTGGCATGGTTGATGATTGATATTGACTTTCAACCATATTTGTGGTAAATATTGACTTTCATATACCCTCTCGTAAACTAACATAGCTATTGAAAATTGCTATTAATAGTGGGTTTACCCATTAAAAAGGGTGATATTCCATAGTTTTTTGTAGGTTTACCAGAGGGTACTTTTCATGTGAGTTGAAACCCCCCAGATGCCAATTCGGTGCCTCACCAGGAGTTGCAACACAAGAGGAGCTTGGAAATTGCTCAGGAGACAAATCGAGGGAGAGGAATTTTGGGGAAGATGGGTAGCTAATGGTAGCTAGCTTGGAAGCATTTGAAAAGGGGGATGCAGCCCAAGAAAGTAGGGATTGAATCTACAAACATTGTGGATTTAGTGTGATGGAGCTGGCAGGGATTTGGAGCCAGCAACCAGGGATTGCGTTGTTGTGATCGTGGATCACCCGTGGTTTTGAGATCAAAACGCGAAGCACAAAGCGAGGATTAGCATTTACTCTGAAATATTTCCTCTGAAATAAGAGTCTAAGAGGGAAAGAGATCTGTGGCGTGCAGTCTTTTGTGTTTTCCCCGATATTTTAGTGAGCTTTGAAAGGTGAGTGGATCCCCACGGTGGAAACGTTCATGACATTCGTATGTTCGTATAAGTGTGCAAGCTCAAAGTGCCAATGCCAAATTAGATATTGTATATGATGTTGCTGCTGGTTGCTGCAAAGAGTTGCTATGCCTCTTTGGTTGTACAGATAACAAATATCTGTGCTATGGTCAAAAGCAGGATTGGATTAACCGTGATTAACTCATAAATAAATAAATATATATATATATAATAATAATTAATAATATATATATTTAAATCACAAAACATGGCACATCTGATGTTTTTTTTACCATCATACCCCATGTGTATTTTTGTGTCACTGCTCAGGAGCAACATCAGCACTTGGAGAAGGCTCGGAAGGCGCGTACGTGCTGAGATCAGAGATGGAGATGTGGGGAGAAGCATGATTCTCCAGTGAAACAAACAATGTTGCTGTCTTTTTTAATGGGTGATTTTTTTCCAAATCATCCAAAAATATCAAAAAAATAAATAACTCATCTTCATATGGAAACTATGTTTTTTTGGGGGGGATCCGTTTTTTTTCGAATTATTCCAAGAGGGGATCGATGGATGATGGTCATTTCCTGATGGTTTCGCTTGGGGATAAATCATACATTCTCAATGGCTTTCAGAAAGCTAAATTGGAGGCACCTACCGTACAAAGGGCCTATGCTGAGGGTTATGTAAGCGAACAAACACACAAAATATGGCCAATAATATGGTACAGTACCTCCATTTTTGGATCCTGAAATTTCCCATTGACATTTTGACGTGTTAATTATACTGACTGGCTATGCCGTTTTTGAATGTTTTTGTTAGCTGATATACCCTCTGGTAATTTTCAACATAACTATTGAACATGACCATTTATAGCCATTTATAGTGGATGTTCCCATTAAAAATTGTGATTTTCCATGGTTATGTAAACGTTTACCGGGCCGGGTAGGTGTCCTATGGTTATGATCCCCTGATGAAAACTGAGGGGGGTCAAAACTTCAAACCCAGCAGAATTGGGAAAAAAATCTTAGCGGTCTTAGCGGAAGCCATGTACCCTCTTAACGTACCTATGGAAAATCACCATTCTGAATAGCCCATAGGATCCATGTATGGAATATTTACCTACATTTGGGCCATTTATGGGGTAAATGATGCCAGAGGCTATTTTCATGGGGTGTGCAAAGTTGATAAACCACAACAACTGAGAACTTAGCATGAAGTGGGGATTGGTAGCAGCATCACCCGGGGTTTCACTCCACCATACTTGAGTTTTCACCGATACAACTGGCGGGGGATGGCTTACCTTTCAGAGAGGGAATGGCTCAAAACGTGTAAAAAACGTGGGATGGTTTACCACTTAAAATGACAAGTGATCGTCCGCAGAATCTTGAGTCTTGACCCAATCTGGAGGAATTTCACTGACGAGATCTTTAGGCACACGGCACACCTGAGTGTTCAGAAAGATTGGATGTTTTTGGCCAGTTTTCTGGGCAACTGAACTTACCTTCTATTAATCAAACATGGGAAATGCTGGGAAACCACCGAACTAAATGGAGGTTTCTGAGAATCTCATCTATAAATATCTATACATGATGGATGTTCCATTCCTAATGTGAAACTCTCGAGTTGTTTTTTGGGCATCCCCTTTGTTGGGGCCTATTCCTGGGGTTTCAGGGTATACATTCCCCCTCAGGTGGGCCATGAGTTCATGTCCGACTCTAGGCAGATGAGAAAGAGATCCAGAATCTGCAACGTGAAGTGGCGCAAGCAGAGTCCAAATTGGCCAATCAGGCTGAGATTTCCCATCTGGGTTGAGTGGCTTCAGTGGCTTGAGATTTTTCTGATCTGGGGGTTACTTAAAATGTGCCACATTTTGCCAAGTCACCATAGGTTTCAATACTGAAAATTGTCTAATTTGGATGATTTGGGAATACCAGCATTTTGGGACATCTTCATATATTTTCACAATTTTTCACATGATTTCAGTTGGGATTGTCCAACAAAATCTATGGTGTGATGAGACGGCTACTGCAATGTGGAGTTGTCGTGTGTCAATTAGAATCCCCACTGTTCATGCGTTAAATCCCCATATTTCTCGTCAAAATCCTCATTTTCCCATGTTCTTCATGGTTTGACTCCAAGTTTCCAGTTTGTTTCATGGTTGGATTCCAATTCAACCACCATTTTTCATATATCTTCCAACCCAATTTGCCAATCTTCCCAAAAATCTTCATGGCGTCGCAGAATCCCAGTGCTCCAGTGCTCAGGAGTTTCAATGGCGAGCCAAAGTCCTCGAAGCCCAAGGTGCTGGGCCAGTGGTACGCAGTAGCGTGCGAAGGGCCAGTCAGGCCAGGGCTGATGGACCATGGGGCACCATGTGGCACCATGGGTCCCTGGGGGAAAGGTGGGGAAATACTGAGGAGATATGGTGGGAATAGACAAGTGATATGGGATTGATACCCTCTGGTAATTTGTTACAAAAAGCTATTGAAAATGGCCTCTGGAAATAGTTGTTTGATGTTGATTTACCCATTCAAAACGGCGATTTTCCAGTTCGTTTTTTGTAAACGTTTACCAGGCCGGCTATGGGATTTCTTTGGGAATGATTGGTTTCGATCAAGTCGTATTGAAGGTATTGGTATTGGGACCCTGGCATGTCACCGATTTTCTGGACCAAAATGATGAGTTGAAGTCACCATTTGAAGAGGTCAAAAATGGAGGCCTTGGCAAAGAAATGAGCAATTTATGTAATTTATGGCCATGAAATGCCATGAATATGTGAGATTGAACCAACCAACATAGAGATATCGAGATCTCATGGGGAATATATCCAACAACATTGGGGGATACCTCTATATGTGTAAATGATGATATGTGGGATCTAAAAATGAATCATGGTGATACAATTACTTATATATATATATATATATAGGATATTTAATGCGATTTTGCTGAGTCAATGATTATTGATGTTCCCACTTAGTAATCCATTACTTACTTGGGAAACCTAGACGGAATCAAAACCTTTGTCGCTTGATGGTATTCTATGAAGTTAGTTCAGCATTTAAGAATCAAGCATCCATATGTTGATGGCTTCCACAACCCATAAAAACACTTAAATTGGGGATGGTGGATCCTATTGCTTTACTAACATGCACTGCTTTCAACACGATGATGTTCTAATCCTCCGGAGCAAGAAAAAGAGTGTTAACAGCCAATAAAGAATATCACCCGGTATGCGTTCAATGTTTTTTCCCCACCTGCCAGGTGAGGGTTGTTAGATTTTATGTCAGTTGCCTGGTCCTCCTCCTCCTCTCCTCTCCTCCTCCTCTCGTTGTCCTCCTCCTCTCGTTGTCCTCCTCCTCTCGTTGTCCTCCTCGTCCTCCTGCTCAACTGCGACTCGCGATCCACAGTGTTCTCTGTCGGACCTCAACCACGACCATCCACGCCCAGTGTTCCCTGCCGGACCTCAACCACGACCATCCACGCCCAGTGTGCCCTGCCGGACCTCAACCACGACCATCCACGCTCAGTGTTCCCTGCCGGACCTCAACCACGACCATCCCCGCCCAGTGTTCCCTGCCGGACCTCAACCACGACCATCCACGCCCAGTGTTCCCTGCCGGACCTCAACCGCGAGTATCCACGCCAATTGTTCCCTGCCGGACCTCATGTAGGAAGATATGGGACAAAGAATGTGCAGAAGAAAGTTAGAAAGAATGTCAGAAAGAATGTCAGAAGATATGCCAGAAGATATGCCAGAAGATATGCCAGATAGAATGCCAGATGATATGCCAGAAGATATGCCAGATAGAATGCCAGATAGAATGCCAGAAGATTTGCCAGATAGAATGCCAGAAAATATGCCAGAAGATATGCCAGATAGATATGTCAGAAGATATGCCAGAAGATATGCCAGAAGATATGCCAGAAGAAATGTCAGAATATATGCCAGAAGAAATGTCAGATAGAATGCCAGAAGATATGTCAGAATATATGCCAGAAGATATGCCAGATAGAATGCCAGATTGAATGCCAGAAGATATGTCAGATAGAGTGCCAGAAGATATGACAGATAGAATGCCAGAAGATTTGCCAGATAGAATGCCAGAAGATATGCCAGAAGATTTGCCAGATCATATGCCAGAAGATATGCCAGATAGAATGCCAAATAGAATGTCAGAAGATATGTCAGATAGAATGCCAGAAGATTTGCCAGTAAGAAAATGTATAAATGTCATGGTGGGGATCACACGAAGTAAAGTATTTTCTTTAACCATGGCCCGTGTTGTTTGATGATTTACCAGTAGAAACGGTGATTTTCCACAGCTATGCCAAATTATCAGAGATCAGAGGATATGATTCGAGGTTCAGCCAACGACTGCAGGGAACGATCGAGACCCTGGAACAGATGCAAGCGAAGGTCGTTGAGCGAGATGCCAGGACAGCTGTTTCACAGAGCAGTTACCGGGTTACCGTAGTTGCCATCAAGACTATCCCAATTCTTGAGCCGTGTTCAAAAGCCCTTTTGATTCATGATTATATGATATTAGAAAAGGGTGGTTCCATGAATGGGAGTACCCCAATAGCTGGATGGTTCGGATGGTTTTTGTTATGGAAAATCCATCTATAAATGGATGATTAGGAGTACCCCTATTTCAGGAAACCTCCATATGGGGTTTTACTATCCATTAGATTGCGGAGAATCAGAATCGATGACAATCCATGGCTTGATCCGTGGAAATCCTATGAAACAACCCGAACAAAGGGCGACATTTTGGGTTTTGAACACTGCTCAATTCATGGTTTGATCCATTTAAATCATGAAGGGTTTGGCGTGAGCCATCAAGGTTTACGCCCAGAAAAAAAACCTCATGATGTTCAATGGAAGAGGTTGTTTTTCTTTGGGTCCAGCCAGCACAATAATGCTGAATGGAAAGTTACTAAAATGAACTGATGTGGACATTTGGAGTTAAAACATTAAACCATGCATAAACTACAATTCTGGGTAAATTATAACGACCTCACTGCGACCTCACTGGGAATCATGGTAAATAAGAGGAATCATCCCCAAATGGCCGAGCTATTCAGGCTAGTGAAATATTCTAATTTACCCAGACAATTCAACAAGCAGAGGTTAGATGCAAAGACAATGTCGATCAATGAGGTAAACCGTAAACCCAATAATAGACACTTCAGGGAACCAGCTTGCAGGATTTCCATTGGGGTCTAGGCCAGTGTTTAGGTTAAAATATGTTAAAACCAGGTTCTGGATGGGATTCAGTAAGTAGTAGGCCCAGTTTTCCACCTACCAGGGATAAATTCAGGAAAAAGTGCCTTCCGTTTATTAAAGTTTGATTAGTCTTATGCTTGATGATCCAGGATCGGATTGATGATGATGATCATGAGCTAGGCTTAGCTATCGGCTTATCAATCATCAACCACCATAGCTACTATAACCATCTACAACTGTTCGATGATTTTCCCACTGGTGCTTCAAAGATCTTCACCTGACTTTCTTGCCCAACATTTTGGCCGCGAAATCCGTAGGATTTCGGTGTTGGAAGCGGATCTCGAAAAATCCAAGGGCGACAAGGAGAATGCAGTGGCAGAAGAACGGATGAAGGCTCGGCGCGCGCGCGCGCAGTTTTTTGGGATCTGGATCTGGATGGATCCGGTTTTGCCCAAAGGGAAATCCCCTTGTCTCACTGGAGCAATAAAGCTACTTTAGCTGGGAAATCATGGATACGGAAATGGTGATACTGCTGGAGAGGCTAATGTAGAAAGCCTGCTGGCTACAACAGCTGAATCTCAGTACTTGTGGTGACTTTGAATGCTGGAGTGCTGGCCCCTTGTTTTGATGCATGTCTGCAGGGTTTTGGAATGCGCGCATGAATTTTCTTGAACACTTACTTCAAAATGCTATAAATTGCTGATGAATGTCGAAGGAAGTGGCAAGTCTGGGCTCAAATTATTTTGATTTTTTCCCAGGAATCACCGACAAGCAGCTCTGCATAAGCAGTTGGACATGCTTGTCGATCTCGTGGATCAAGTTATCTTCCCCTCATGCACTGCATCATTGGTTTGGTGGCTGCCTTGACTAATATTTGTCAGAGGGGTTGAAACCACCAACCATACTCAGACCATTATTAACCATTATGAACCATGGAAATCCCTATGGGATCCTATGGGAATATACCATATAATATAATTATATACATAGACTCAGCGGGGTTTTCGAGGCTTTCAAGATCCCACCATCCCGCTTCGAGGTTCGCAAGTTGGAGATTGAGCTGAACCTCCTGAGTCGCCTGTCCGGGAGTGATGGGATGCCGTTTGCAGATGGAATTCATTGAGATGTGAATGGGATACCCTCAACATACAAAAAGCCATTGAACATGGCCATTTACTTCGTTGATTTACCAATTCATTTGTTTTGTTCCATAGTTATATTAGTTTACCAGGGGATATGAATGGCGAATGATGTGTCTGTTTTTACTGATTACGGGATTTAAACAGAGTTAATATATAATAGGTAATGATATGTAACAATATGTAGTTTCTTGCATCTTGACCCATGCTTGGGGATGCAGTTGAGGTTACTTTTATTGGTATAGCCATGGTGAACTAAACCCAATAGGTTGGGATATAGGGACCCTATAACTATGGTTATATATATAGTTATATCACATCATTATATATCCACTCATAAGTGGAACTGCGCTTCCAAGTAATGTTCACAACGCATAAGTCAGTTAGTTCTACCAACTGGTGAAAAAAGGGGTTCCAGTCGACTGGATGTTAATAATTGATCCAAATGTTTGACCTATAAAAAAGTGTTATTTGTACCAGAAATGTTAACATTTGGATTTCAAATGACTTATGGAACTATTCATTTGAAACTACAGATTTCAATCCTGGCGGCCCTGGGTAGTGAGTGAACTAATAGGTGGATCCCCAAAATGGTTGAAAAAGATGGCGTGGATCTTGCTGGATTTTCCCATATTTTTGCGAACAGGAGTCCAAGCTTGAAAAAGGGACGATGATCCCAATTGTCTCAGATTTTCTGGCTGAAACCACTAGCCTCTGGTAAACTAACATAGCTATGGAAAATCACCATTTTCAATGGGAAAATCCACTATAAATCACCATTTTCAATAGCTATGTTAAATTACCAGAGGGTAGCCAGTTTTAGTGTTGTAACTGACAAACTGATGGATCTGATGGTTTTGGGATGTCAAAACGAGGCCCCCGTCGAAGAAAAAACAACCTAAACAAGTGGAGGTGGAGCAGGCCAAAATCCATCCAGAAGGCAAAACAAGTGAAGCATTTACGAAAGTTCACCCTCCGGTGTCATCAAACCTGGTGCCAGTTGGAGATGTTTCCCATGTTCATGTCATTTTCCAGATGATCTTCAGATGCATCCATTTGGAAATCAGGGGATTTCCCAGCCATGTTTGGTGCCCCCATGTGCACCAGCCCCACAACGTTACTTGATGGCGCTGGTTTTCAACCACGGACGGTGAACTGAGAAAGCACAAGAAAAAGCAAGGGACATGTTGATAGAATAATAGTGATTGATAGGCTAATAGTGATATTAATAGTGGTTAATAGGCTATAAACCAACAACAATGGGAATATGATGGTGATCTGGTTGGTGGTTTGGAACCATGGAATCTTATGACTTTCCCCAACAGTTGGGATGATGATCCAATCTGACTACTGTAATATTTTTCAGGAGGGTTGAAACCCCCAACCAGTAGCATGTCAACTAAGGATTGCGAATTCGTATGTCTATGAAGATATGTGTATGAATTATGTTTACATCCGTGCCATGATCAAAACATTGGCAATATTTCCATAAAAACGGATGATCATCATGATCATCATCCCCCTATTGATTGATAGGATGTGTAACACAATATATATATATATAGTCATTCATGGTGGAATTTCGCGATGGTGGGATGAGATGAGAGTAACCCATCACTACTTCCTTGATGAGGTATATCCAATACTGGATCCAAACATTCTTTGCCGTGTTCCATTCAAAGTTTCACAGAACGTCTAGAATCTGCACTTCATCCACCCAAGATTGATTGTTGGCATTGACTCATATCATTCTACCCATTTACTGTACACGAACAGTCCCCATCATCAGTTTTTTGTTGACCCGTTCAATCCAATGAAATTGCAATGGCGACTTCCCATTCATATTCCATGCAGTTCCTCTAATTTCCCATGAAACCAGCATGAAAAAAACCCACGGAAAAAAACCCATTGAATCCCATGAAAATCCACAGAAAAATGCTGGTTTTTATTTCGGGATATTTCGGGATTCGCTGCTTCCGAGGACAAATCCACCATGAATTTCATCCCCATGAAATCCACCATTTTTTGTTGGTTTTTAGGCGACGGTGACACCATGAAGCTGCGGCAACAGCTGCGTGCAGAGCATGATGCGGAGGTTCAACAGATCTCCTTGGCGGCCGAGGCGAGAGAAATGTCGGGTGGAATGTTGATATGATGATATCATGGAAAGGGATGATGGATTGTGATGGATTATGATGGTCAACTGGTTGGTGGTTTAAAAAAAATCAAACCGATCAACACGGAGTAAATCGCAGGCAGTGTACCTGTTTGGTTCAAATCAGGACCAAACGGGATGGTTTACTCAGTTTACTCCAAAGCATCAGGAGTCTGATATCCAGACGCATAACAGCGTGTACATCCATTCATCACTGGTATAATCATCCAAGTTTTCACCATTTTTAATGGGAATACTCACTGTAAATGGCCATGATTAACCAATATATATGGGTAAATGATGACATTCTGTGATTTTGTTGGTCTATGATCTCCAGCCTTGTTGCTAAAAGCATCCCCACATTTCTTGATCCCGGCCGACGGTTCACAACCACCCGTTTGGTTCCTCCAGAATACAGGGCCACCCAGAAATCAGAAGTTTGCCATCATGGAGGCTACAGGATGGTGCCCCCCAGTTATAAGTTGGTTTATAAACCCCATTAACTATAGTTATATCTACCATAAACCATAGTTATGGGAGTTATAAACCAACTTAGCTAACTATGGGGCACCACCTTGTATGAACCAGTTGATAAGTGGTGCAAATGACCTCGGACGATCTTTTTATTATGTATATGCACACACTAAAACCAAATTGTTTGTAGTTAACTAGCCACATGAATCAAATTGAGAACAGTTTAAGATGCGGAGATGATAGCCCCACTGGAGCACTGGCTCGTTCTTGACGTTAAATAATTGTATAAGTGGTGTATGTCCCCTAGTTGCGTTTTCTTTTTCTTGAAAGCAGTCATAGGTCATCATTCAAATAACCTGACAACTTACTTCATAATGTAATGGTGAAAATTGTTACGTTTTTATTTTGCATATCGTTCAATCATGTTTTCAAAATATCAATTTATAATTTCAGCAAAAAGACATCAAAATTGCTAAACGTCAATGTTTAGTTCTTAAATGAGCCTTTTTGTTGCCGATGAAATCCTCCTTTTTCAACTTCCAGGTTGAAGTATTCGCTGCCAGGCATCCGTGCAGACCTTACAGGAACTATTGGACCAGACTGAGGAGTGCTGCGATGTTGAAGCAACGGGAAGAGCTCCTCCAAGCAGAGGTTGTTTTACAACAGCATCCAGCCAGAGCAAAACTATGAATCTGTCTATCCTAATTGTAAAGCTGGGGTTGTTATACACCACTCAACCTAGTTATGTGATGTTTACCAAATTACTTATTGTTTGGACGTCCGTGGGCAATGGCCACCGACGATCCCATCATATCCTCTAATATATATATATATATATATTATATATATATGGAAAAACTTGGTGCTCGGGCTTCATATTTTTAAGTTGTTCCATTCCTATTTGTAATGATAATCCTTGCTTGAGTAGTAGTCTTGAAGGGTGTTGGAACCATAAAAGATACTATGCATCGATCAGTATATATATATATATACCCATAGGATCCATGTATGGTATATGTGCTAACATTGGGGGTATATTGATGGTAAATGTCACCATATATAGCATACATGGATCCTATGGGATATATATATATGCTTAGTGTATATGATACATGGGTGTGTTCAAGAAGTGGCATAAAGTTTCTACCGATCCAGTTCCCTGGGAGGTTCCATTCTGGGATTCTGGGGTACAGTCTCAATCTTAAGTTTTTTTTAAAGGGCAACTTCCCAACTAGAGAACCAGCCAGGGTTTATTGAGGGGTTCCCATGTGTCCATTCAATTTCTGTCAAAACTGGGGAACACCAATGATTTATCATTGGAATGGTCATCCTGTGAGGTGGAAACCTCTACCTTTGGAGGTAAAAACCACTGGTTTCCTGTAGAAGCACCAAAATTGAAAATTTGCTAGGATGATTTACGCTAAATCTGATAAAGCATGGAATTTGCGGCTTCAGAATTTTGAGATCAACCCAAAGCGTTCTGCAAAATTTGAGATAAATTAATCATTTGCTATAATGTATATATATATGTGTGTATCATTTGTAAATCATGATCTGATAAATAATGGAGTTATTGACATCTATACATTGTATTACCCATGTTTTTCCGCAAATCATCAGCGGCTAGGAACGTTTGCGTTTGCAACAGCTCGAGATGGCGTCACTTGGCGATACGGAGATTTTTCTACGTCAAGAGGGTCAATGGGAGAAAACATCACCGGGGGGGTGGTTACAACCGGTAAAATTGATATGTTTTGTTTGTTTACCAGTACTTAAAGATTCATAAGATAATATGATTAAAGATTTATAAGATGATATGTACTAAACGAGTGATATTTTTCTTGATGCAGAGCACTTATCTGGGTATTTTCTTAATGATATGTATTCAACAATTCCAACGAGGGTATTTGTTCAGTTTTGACACAGCTTTTTCGGCATCGTGGCGCGGCGGGATGAGGGCTGGCTGGGAGGTACTAACCATACTATATTTCTGCCCTTTGGTGAGGATATTCCTTGGTAAATAAACATAGACCCTGAAAATAACCAATTTTTAATGGAAACTAATCTTCCAAGTCCTTTTTGCCAGGGTCTATGTTAATTTACCAGAGGGTATTCCCTGAAATTTAGGCCTCAAAAAATGCCAAAAATATATGGTAGGTACCTCCAATCAATCGGTTCCTGAGTCATGGGCATTGAAGAGGTGATGATATATGATGATCCCAATTTAGGAACATATTTTGTTTGAACCAGATTAAGCTACCAACAACAACAGGCATCATCTTCACACATGGATTTGCCCAAAAAAAGCGGAGTGCGCTTCAAATTCTGTTCGTTTTACCCGGAAAGATGATCATCCGATAGACTTGGTACATTTTCAGATAAATTCGTGTGGGTTTGAACATAAGGTGCTCCAAAATCTGATCATTGATGATCCTGTTCCTCATTCAAGTTGCAATGTTGTTCCATTTGGATGTATCCTCCATTTGTATGTTTAACCGGTTTTGAGTCAAACAAATATCTTCCCCTTTGTCTTATCTCCTCAAACGAATCCATAAAACAAGCACGCCGCTCGAGGCAACTGCACGAGAAACAGGTGGAGGCTCAAAACAAGCACTCCGAGGACGGAACTTTTTTCAAGTTACTCCGAGACCTCACTGGTTTTTCGGTCACCGTAAATGGTGGTTACAATAGGGGAACTCATCTCCAAAACGGTATCTTTCTGATTTGAGAACAATTGTACAATGATTATTTTGTCCAGATAGGCAAGTTTGGAGAAGATCAGTAGATAGCACACCCATCATCCCTTGCTTGAGGGTTCCATGTTGAAATTTTGGGGTGAGGATCCGTGAAGCCATTGCATTCTATTCTTTTGCGACCTCGCTTAACATGACAAAACTGGAATGATGGGAATTGGATTGTTGTAACCTTCCCCAAAAAAATGTCCAGCATTTCAGGCTAGTAAATTATGATAAACTAAATACAATAATATATACATATGTATATACACCCATTTCTCCAGATTCTTGTTCAACCCTGAACAGGACACCAAATTAGAAGACCTTCATGTTTCTAGCCATTTTCACACTGAGCTTTATGTGTAAGACACCACACCGATGTGTAAGACACAGAAAACCGTCTCACTCTCACGGCTGATTGTCACTTGCTCAGTGAAACCATGGCTAGAAACACACAGGTCTTAAAATGTGGTGTCCAAACCCTTGTTTTGGTTGACCATGGTTAACCTAAAAAAATGGGGATATATGGCAGCCAACCAATTAGGGGGGTGGATTGACCATGATCCATACCGTGGAAGTATCATAAAATAGTTCGTTCGACCTTGGTGAAGGGTGCGGATATAAAATATATAAATACTGATTCACCAGCTAACAGATCACTTATTTTTTTTCTGGGCATCTAAGGTTTCATCCGTGTTTATTCATGGTGAGGTTTTTTGTGGAATGATTGGAATGTCGTGCAGTTGAAATCGCCCCCCCAGCACTTTTTTGCAACCCCTGGGATTCATGGTGATCCCAAGCCAACCAACCAAAGTGGGACAAAAAATGAGATGAGAGGATTATGATGGATTCATGTATCCCAGATGCTCCATGATGCTGGAATATTTACCTACAAAACTGGGTGTTTTTTTGGGGGTAAATGTAGGTAAATAATGGTAAATATTCAAGCACCATGGTTCGCATATGGGTATGATTCATGTATATGTGTTATTTCAACGCATGATTTTTTCACCGACTTTTGCAATGATGATCCCCACGAACTTCGTTGCCCTTCCAGGAGACAAGACAACTGGGGTGCTCCTGGCATGTGAACGTCGTGTTTTTTTTCGGTTCCGTCTCTCAATCCTTGGGCTATCCATTTTGGGAGGCTACCCAACAAAAAATCGCGGTGTTCCAAACCCCCAGTGGCTATTCTTTTTGATTATATATAGGGCTTATACATGCTTATACTATCCAATGGACTGGGGATTCTCAGAAGAGGGGAAATCCCATGAACCAACAAGTAGAAGGGACTGAAGGGACGACAGAGGGTTTTGAACACTGCTTATTTAGTATAATGTCTGGGCATCAGCAATTGTTGGGTTGATTTTAAAAGGTGATTTTGTTTTTATGTTTTGGGCAGCCATTTTGAAATTTATGGATATCGTGCATATTAAGAATTATATTAACATGACCGGTGAATTTGGGTTGATTATCATGTTTTGAAATTGCCATTTTGGGGTATCACCAACTTTAAGACAAACCTTTATACTGTACAGTAGTTCCTACTAAGTGTACAGTTTGTAAATCATCATGGGAATGAACTGCAATTCAACCACATGCTCTCACATGCAGAGATGGTTTGATTCTCATTCTGTTTCGATTGGGATATGCATTTGGTGGTGCAGTTGGGGCCACAAGTAAGTCAACAGTGCTGTATGGGACCTGTCCTGCAACCAATCCCTTCAAAATCGATTGCTTCATCATCATTTGTCGAATATTTTATTGCTATTTGGGAGGATACTCCAATTTTCAGACAGACTCAAATGGTTGTGGAAATAAGATTTTGTTCCTTTAAATACCTTGACAGTAACACCATTTCGTGGCTGCCAGGGACGAAATCGAACGGCTTCGCAAAGACCTTGTGGAGGTCCGTGATGTCACCAGAGGTAAGGATTTAACGAGCAAAAATACTTGGTGGCTCATCCCACTTAGTAAGTGGATTAGGTCGCCACAGGTATAAGTGAATTAACCCAACTGATCCCATTTATATATAACTCGGGTTATAAGCCCTGTACTAAGTGGGATGAGCCACCAAGTATTGAACACGTGTGAATTTTGGCCATGGCCAAAACAAATGGGGATTCAAATCATGCAACTATGCTGAAAGTATACGAAATTCCAAATTGGGAAGCCCAACGTCTGTCTGTAAAAGCGTTTGTGTGCAAAGACGTTTCAGCCATGGTGCGAAGAGCAAACGCGAGCAATGCGTCTTGCAGCGGAAGAAAATGACATTGCTATATACAATCGAAAGGCGTTTGGATATGCCATTGAACCCAAATGACTCCAATTGCTTTGGCTGCGGGCCTTTGCACAGCGCTGGAGGAAATCTCGAATTTGCGCAGATTTTTCTTGACGCCTGCGCAAGCATTGAGCCGGCAACAGGTTATGAGGATTGAACTACTGTGGATTGAACGAACAAAAGCCATGGACTCTGCAAGGACGGGATCAAGCACCAAAGTGGAGGATATGTCTGACTTCAGGCAATATTTGGGCTCGATGTTGAATATTTGATGGTGGTTAATCCACATGCAATATATGTAATACATAATATAACATACTATGGTTACTATGGTTGTATTATGATATACTACATATGTATATGTATGTTTGCATAATACATATATAACATGCAATATAATCCACCTATATATATTATGATATACTATGGTTTGACCCCCAAAAGTCAAGTATGTTGATCTTTTTTTGTGGAATTGGGTGGGAAAAATTGTAGATTCGAACAACAAGAAGAGGATTATGTGAAGTCCCATGGCGTCTATATCAGGAAGGTTTTTTTGGCGACCCAAAATGGAGTGGACGTAGCAATTGACCCACAAATTTTGCCAAACGTTGGTCACACCTTTTGTTGTCCAATTGTTGGGGTCAGATCATTCTCCATGTTGGGGACCCCAATGATCAACCTCTGGCTGAGAGTACTTATGTCACAATGTGATCCTACATGCACAGGTAGTAAAAAGGTGTAAAAAGGGGGCCAGAAGAATCCTTCCAACCCTTGTGGTATAAACAGGGCTTGGTTTATTCTATGTTGTTTGGTCGTTCTTGTCGGTGGTTACAGTTTTGTTGGGTTCACCAAGCGCAAGAAGCAGCTATTTGGTGGATGATTTCAGAGATTGAATACTTTGTTTGTGCTTACTTGGGATGATTTGGACCTCAAAGAATGAGCAGTTTTCGTTTGGATGGGTTTGATCCTCCGAAAAACTGCACCCACCAGCCACTTCAAGATACCCTCTGGTAAACTAGCATAGCTATTGAAAATGGCCATAGAAATAGTGGATTTACCCATTGGAAATGGTGATTTTCCATTGTTATGTAAACGTTTACCAGAGGGTATGTCTGTTGTTTTAGATGATTGCAGGATGATATTCCAGTTGTTGTCATCTATTGCCATCAGTTCATGGCCTCAAAAAGCAACGACTGGGTAATCCGCATACCCAATTTTCCATACCCATGGGTTATTTTGGATCCACTACAGTGGATAGTAAGGCCATTAGGGGATATTAGGAGAGCATACTGTATACTCAATGTATCTAAATGTGTGATGATCCTGGCTACCGGCAAGTCTGGTTGGGTACCCCACCCCAACTTTTTCCGGGGGGGCTGGGTGATATCCCAAAGTGCCCAGTGGAGCATCCCTTGGGGTAGTTCAATAGGTTCAGAACGTTTGCTGTGATGGGGACCAAGTCCCACCAACTCTTAGATGTTGGTATCTACCCTCTGGTAAACGTTTACACAACGAACTGGAAAATCACCATGCTTTTAATAGGTAAACCATCATAAACCATCTATTTCTATGGGCCATCTAAAAACCATGGCTATGTAACAGTCATAACCAGAGGGTAAACCTCCATTTTCCTATGGTTTTCCTATGGTTTTCCCATTAAAACCTCCATCCCAGAGGGTTGATTTCTAGATCTGTTGAATTCGCCCTGTGACAATCCCACCATCCCAGCATCCCCAGGCGAAACATCAGCACGGCCACGACGCAGATGTGGCGGTCGCACGACGTTGATTTCACTGGCCATGCAACAGGAACCGATTGATTGGAGGTACCAATCCCATATATAAGGCCTATTTTTGAGGCCTATGTAAGTGAATATCACCACAAAATATGGCCTTATATGGTACAGTACCTCCATTTGATGATTGGTGATTTAACCTTTGGTAAACCAACATAACTAGGGAAAATCACCATTTCCAATGGATAAATCCACTATTTCTATGGCCATCTTCAATAGCTATGTTAGTTTACCAGAGGGTAATATGATTTAATGAGGATTGAAGCATCATTTCAAACTAGTGAACCCCAGGGTGTTCTTTATTAGGGTCCGTCTTTTAAGGTCAAGAAAAGGGTATATTATATTAATGTGTTTAATTTGAAATTTGATATGGGGGGAAATATTCTCCAATTTTTGGCAATATTTCAAATAGATGTTAAAAGGAAATCTAATCGATTTTGAAATAGTTTTTGTTTATCTTTTTATATTGGGGTTTTTAATTGGTATTAGGGGAAAGCTTCGAAATCCCATTGTTGGCAATATGCAATTAGATTTTAAAAGTTACTCTAATCGATTTTGACATAGAAGAAACTAGTTTTTTTATAGTAGGGTTTTTGATTTAGTATATATTAGGGGGAAGCTTCGCACCCTAATGATAAATACCCCCTAATAATAAAAACTACCTGAGGTGTTTCTTATTTGGGAGGTGGTAGTATTAGGGGGAACGATTACTGGTTAATTTATACTACGTAAGTACAGGGATTACTATCTATTTACTATCTATTATACAACCAACCAGTAAAATGGGATGAGATGTATTTTTCATAGCCCATGTATATCAAATGACAAACACCGGATTAATAATCCCCCCGCTATAGGTCAACAAGGTCAACAAGGTCCAGTCAGGGAGTCAAAAAATCCAACCCCCCGAAATAATGTGCCTTTAACCCATCCATGAACCAATGTTGCTGGAATTAGCTTGGAAATAAGCACCGATGGAGCATCAAGTCTGTCCATGAGGGGATCAATTTTGATGAATGTTTTGGACGTAGCCTCCATGAAGGGTTCGTATTGTTTGAATTAGCTTCGCGTTCGGATCCATGGGGTATCAGTTTTTCCCCAAACAGTGTGTCCACACCGAGGGGTTCTTACGGTAGGTGTAAAGGCCGGTGCTTCATCAGGGTGCTCCAGCTGGGCTGCGGCATTTTTCCTGTAAATTTCTGTGTAAAGTGGCTCTTGTGAAATCTCCAAGTGCATTTCGACTGCGCAGGCTCGCACAAAGTCTGCGCCGCGGTTTTGGGCCGCGGCATTTATCCTTTATATAAATTTCTGTATAAAGTGGCTCTTCTGCAATGTTGACGTGCATCATCATCTCATCACCATCATCATCATCATCCTCATCCTCATCATCACCATCACCATCATCATCATCATCATCTCATTTTCATCATCCTCAACTTCATCATCATCAATACCACCACCACCACCACCACCACCACCACCACCATCACCATCACCATCACCATCATCATCGTCATCATCATCATCATCATCATCCTCCTCCTCCTTCTCTACACCATCATGATCATCATCATCATCATCATCATCATCATCGTCCTCATCATCATCATCATCACCCTCACCATCATCATTATCATCACCATCATCCTCACCATCATCATCACCATCATCATCATCACCATCATCATCATCATCATTGTCTTCATCATCGTCATTACCATCATCCTCACCATCATCATCATCATCATCACCATCACCATCATTGTCTTCATCATCGTCATCACCATCATCGTCGTCATCATCGTCATCGTCATCGTCATCATCATCATCATCATCAGCAGCATCATCATCATCATCATCCACATTATGAAACATTATCCTCCCACTCCCCCACACTGTTTGGGGTCTCTTGCCGGGATGATTTATTGAATCAGCTCGGGGATTAGCTGCATAGCAATTAATCAATGAGCATCCCCTGATTCAAATTTTATGAACTCAGTTTTGAATTAGTATCCATGAAGGGTTGAATGGCTTGAGTTTGAAGGGAATAGGCTGGAAATGACCATCAATGAGGCATCAACCATGTCGATCATAGAAGCCATCATGCTGATCAGCAACTTCATGAGCTTGGCTGCCATCGTCATCCTCGCGAAGAAGGTTCACCGGTTCGCCAGCTCCAGAAGCTTCGTGCCTTCTTTCGGATGTACCGGGTGGATCAGCTGCACCATTCAGACAGTGCAGGAGGCCCTGACCAACGATAGCTTAGGCATTCCTATGTTAGGAGTCCAACTCGCCCATGATGCCTTCTGGGGGAAAAAGACTCTGAACATGCTGTCGTGGCTCTCCTTCTGGCTTTGCAGCGTCGGCGCACGGAGATAAAAACCTGGTGTTCTTTGAGATCGAAGGACGGTATATCGTGGTAAACACGGACCATCAGTGGATCTCTCAGTTCCTGTATGGGCAGGCTCATAATATGAGCGATTCGTACGCCTCAACTCAGCAGGAGGGTCCATTATTACGATCAGCGTCTTCAGGAGCGTCTGGCGGCGGAAGACGGCCCTGGCAGCCCTTTGGTGAAGTCCAATGACGAGATGGAAGAGCCCCCAAGCAAGAAGGCTTTGTCCTGGTTAAGCAGAAGATAAGCGACAAAAACATGGAAAAGAATCAACACAGCAAGGAAGCAGCAAAGGATAAACCACAAAGAGAGCGTGTGTGCCTAAACATGGTGTGGGAGCACCGACCTTCGGGCAGCAGGGAGGAGGTATCCACACCACACCCCGTTGTGGATCAACAATTCCCTTTGTGTCCACGAGTGGCACTCTTAATTCCTCCAACGAGCAGGAGGGCAGCCATTTGTTTCGAAGATATAATTGGACTCATAAGCAACAACGTTTTTGGAGGGGTGGATGGGGGTTTTAACCATCTAAACATTCTATTTATCTTAATGGGGAGACAGTGGGTATATACTTGGAATATAGTGCGATACAAACACATTAACCGGGCAACTTCGGTATGCATGAGGAGACACAGAGCTAAGAAGAGTTTCTCAACCACATGATATTAACATAGAATTGGACAAATAAAGATTTTATCGGTCATATTCCTTCGGAAACCGTGAGGTTTGCATATCTATGTTAGTTATATGTTAGTTTACTACAGGATAGGAAGTGGTTAATACAGAATCTATATATCCCAATACATTCTCATTTTGGCTGGTTCTACACCCTCATGTGTTGTTGGCTGAATAGCAAATAATAACCATTTTCAGATAGTTGTTGGATGCTGCTGGGGCTAGTGAATTTCCCATGATTATTGACTTATATTTAGCTGCACAGGGATTTTTAGAGGAACACTTCGACAACTCGAGGCTCGTCTTGCACCGTTGCCACCGGATGAGAGTGTGGACCCTGAACGGGCACGGCGCCAGTTGGAAGAAGTTGGAGGAGCTTTGGCAATAGGCATAAAATGGGAAAATATGTCACCATAACTTCATGGAATTCATGCTGAATAATTGGGTTATGTGTATACCCTAAAACATCCTAAAACTGGGCAGATCTTCACCATCAAATGGATGGAATTGGGTTATGAACCGTCAAAATGACAGATTAATGACCAATATATGCGTGTTTGCTGGGTAGAGTGACTGATTAATCGCGATGTTTTTGAAAATTGCCCTAACAGAGGGAACATTTCATGTGCACCCAAAAATTACATTTTTCTTGTGCCCGATATTCAAGACTCGCCACAAGAGTGTTTGGAAATCAAATCCCATGATAGTTCTGTGGCATATAGATGCATGTTTTGGATGGTTTATCATGTAGGGATGCACACAAAAGAATCCTCTCATCAAAGGAATGCATCGTCCAAAGGACCTATTTTTTAACGTTGTCATGCTACATTTAAGGTGTAATTGTCCAATTTTGAACACCAAGATGAAGAATGGCCAGAGAGGTCATGATTGGCGGGCTTAGTTGGGAATATGAGCCCATCATAGCGTTGATTTCGAATTTCTATTAACGAACCAGAAAGCAATCCCGTGGGCTTTGGAAGTCCCGTGGGCTTTGGAAGCTGCCCAAACTTGAAGGAATCTCACAGGAAAGTGATTTTGGAAGGTGGTTTCAAGCAGTGTAACTGGTGTTTGGCGTTTTAGTTTGCAATGTATGTTGGTTGTTCATACCCAATCAAAACTATATACATTTGTTTCATGACCATACACCTGCTTGTGCTGGTTTCTACACACTTCAACCTACTGCTACGTATACCAAATGTTTATGAACCAAAAATCTCTTAATTTCGAACCCGGGCCAAGTAGTTTGAAGTAGTTTTTGGCAGTTGGAATCAACATGATATCCGATGATATCCTATTCAATGGCAAATTGTTTGTATCTCTTTAATCATTGCTATTCAAGTGCCACTTGTTGGGAGCTGATTGCGCAGCGTATGAAACACATCAAACATGTTCCTTGGTCAAGTTACTTGGATTGATATACCCAGTATACCCATGAAGGGCAGGATTCCCAGGATGGGATGGATGACCATAAACAGCAATTTTCCAGTTGAACCCCATGGTTCTTTGATGTTGTTTGTTGCCATCAACAAGGTTTCAAAAATGTTTGCTGCAAATCTATCCCAGTGTGCCAGTGTTTGTTTGAAAACTGGATTGTTTTTGATGACAGCATGCAATACCATGTGCACTCGTCAACTTGACAAAAACACGGAAAACGCAACCTACTAATATACACGTACATGTACACATGGCAAACGGATCTAATGGAAAACTGTCAACTTAATAAGAAATAAAGAACATTACCAGTTATATTCACATATTATGTTTCATGTGTTGATGTTTGCAAAATACTACAGTAAGTGCAGCCCAACTGCCTTCGCTTCAGGTGCACGTTTGGCCGAGTCCCTGGGTTCCGAGGGATTGGAGAACTTCGGTTTTGGCGTGCCCTGGCTGAAGTGGTTCCGGGTTGAGCACTACTTATCCCATAAAAATAACGGAAAAACCCAGGATATATATATATATAGTCATATAGTGATGGTTAATAGTGGTTAATAGGCTATAAACCAACAACAATGGGAATATGATGGTGATCTGGTTGGTGGTTTGGAACTTTTTTTATGACTTTCCATATATTGGGAATCATAATAATCATCCCAACTGACGAACTCCATCATTTTTCAGAGGGGTAGGTACACCACCAACCATGCAGGTTTATAAGGGGAAAATATCCTATTTAATGGGATGAGCCACCAAGTACGGTAATATAAAGAATGTATTAACCAAACGTATGTCGTATTGGGATAGGTCAAAACCTGTGATTGTTTTCCACATGGCTGGGGGAATAACCATCCAGCTATACCAGCTATTTTAGGATACCTAGGGTACTTGACCCATAACCACATGAAGGAAGCGCAGCACGTGCCACCCCTTCTCTCCCCCCCGAAGCCCGCGGGCCACGGAGCGGAAGTTTTACTGTAGGTCTTACCGAGGACCGTATGAATACTCTAGCGGAGAATCCGCTAGTGGATGATGTTGGCTTGCTGTCTAAGGGGTTTTTTTCCCAGGCGGAGATTATTCCGAAGAGCTGTGCCCATAAGATCGGTACTCTAGATGGATCTATTTGTATCCAAACAGGAGTGTTTTTCCGTTCTCATGGTGACGTCCAGCAGAAGAGCGAGGGAGCGATCAGTATTTGGAAGATTCGGTGCAACTGTCATGCTGGGTATGCCGCTACAGGAGGAGCGATCTTTCGGATGTCTCGACTTCGACCTCGAAGGTAGGAGAGGAAGAATTTATCTCTTCCTCTATCGCTTCGGTAGGCGGGCACGAGTCTTCTCTTTCTGGGTAACTCATGAGAACATGCCCATAGAGGAGCTAGTAAGTGGGTTAGTTTACCCCAGTTTGTTTTAAGTGGATTCACCCTACTTTTATGGGATTATCTCCCGTCTACTAAGTGAGATGAGCCACCAAGTAGGATAACTCTGATTTATCTGTAGTTATAAATATAGTTTGATGGGTTAATAAACTTACTTACAACTTGGGGGAACCACATTGTAGGATTTTCTCTGGAAAAGGCTGCACCAACCATCACAAGTGGGTAAAAAAGGGAGATTTCGGCTGTTTCGGTGTTTGTTTGCCTGCCATTTGGCAGGACCCTTTACCATGTTCAGACAAATTGATTGAAGCAAATGTACTGCTAATGTTGGATGTTTTGCAAAACCGGTCATTTGATTGCACTGTGCCTTATTTTGATGCAGGATTCTGTTTATATTGGCTTTTCAAACTTTGGGTACCCCAAGCCCATGTTTCTCTGGCTGTAAGGAGGCACAGTAAACCTTGGAAATACGAAAAATGAGATGCTTTTATGATAAATTGAAAGCTGTCCGACCGGGATTTCCCACGAATTATTCCTTCATCTCTCCGGGAGCCCTGGTTCTGCAGGGGGCAGCTCATTAGCTTTGGACCAATTGTAGTGCTGCCATTACAGTAATCTGAGTAAATTATAACGATCTCACTGCGACCTCACTATAATCATATAGTTAGTAAGGGGAATCATCCCAAAATGGCCGAACTATTCAGGTGAGTGAAATATTCTAATTTACCCAGATTAATTGCACCTGTGAGATGGTCACATGAGGGACGATGGATGTATCTTCCCACGGAAACAGTTCTGGGGGAAATGGCAAATCTTCTGTCAAATTGTCAAATGTCCGATTGTAGGTGGCTGATTCCGTATTGATAAATCACCATTTCTGTTGGTAAAATCAGTTGATAACCCGTTGGTATTTAGCCAAAATGGATTTTTTGATGTTAAATCATGGTAAATCCTTATTTGCGTTGATTAAATCGAACCCCTCGTCAGAATCATTTCACATTTTGAGATGATTAAAATAAATTGCAATTTTGGTTAGTTAGATCCCCTATTTGTTCATCAATGGATTTTAACCTCCATTAATGTCAATCCAAGATGTTGTGGAATCACCCGTTTCTGTTGCTTAAACTACTCAAGTAAATCCCCATGTTAGTGGTTAAATGCCATGTTTCATGGTAAAATCGCATTGATTCACCATCTTTTGTCTAAATCATGTTCTTTGGAGAAACCGTTTGCGGCTGGCGTAAGGTGGAGAGTCGTTTGCGGCAGCATCAGGACCAGGCAGGGCAGATGACCATAGTTGCAGTATGTTGGGTTAACCCATGAATATCGATTAATTATATCATCTAGCATAAACCCTAGTGCAATATGAGTTCCAAACCAACTTAACAAATGAAATGGGGCACCACCTTGTATGATATCTTCAATTCAGGTTTAGGACACTACCCAACCCCTGCAGAGCACTGCCGTTTTTGTTTCCACCTGTGCAGGTGCCAAAATTTATTTTGCTGTGCCTGGATAACTACCCTTATAGATGCTCATTTCTCTTGCAATCAGATATACCTTGTTTTGATGAAACCATCGGGGCGTTACTGAACGTGGTTCTACCTGGTTGTATGTTGGTTTACATTCACCCTCCAAAAAAATGCAACTGTGCACATTAGCATCTTTGTATGGCTAACCCGGGTTGAGATTGGATGACGCCCTTGGTTTCCTGATTGAAAATTACGATTTTTGTTTGGATGACAATTTGGTGTCCTCCATTTTCAGAAATCCTCATCAATATCACATTCACTGGTTGGTGGTTTGGAACATGAATTTTATTTTTCCATATATTGGGAAGAATATTCCCAACTGACTAATATTTTTTCAGAGGGGTAGGTATACCACCAACCAGATAGTTCTTCATCAACATTTTGTCGCGCCAGGTCTTAAGCCTCTATCACAGGTTGGAGCAGCAGCAGGAAGAGTTCAACAGCTTGTTGGACCAACAGTCGCTCGGCGACGGATCAGTTAATAACCGTGTTCCAAAAATGGTTGAAGATGTGGATGTAATATGATATAATGAGATATGGAATAATCATTAACCAACCAAAAGAACCCCTAGTTGACCTACTCAAAAACCAACTGACCCTCTAACGGGGGCTTGGGCACCTGGCCTGCCGAAAAGGAAGATCATCTGCAAATAAGGTAGTGCTTCGACCAAGCGAATGTGGTATAACATGGTAGAAGCCATCCCAAGAGGTGGACATGTTTCTTCAGCCCAATGGGTTCTCATCAGTATTGCACTGAAACATATTGGAAGCTCTCAACCAATCTTATGGTTTATCATCATTTAAATGGTACAAAGGTGGAACCCCGATTTGTTGGCGCGACCCCCCACTTTTTGATAGTTCAACCTTCATGTTGCTTGGTTATTTCTCAAGTTTCCCCATTAAAATATTTGTATATATATATATACATAATTATGCATATATATATATATACATACGTACATACATGCATGCATGCATACATATATACGTACGTACGTACGTACGTACGTACGTACGTACATACACACACACACACATACATACATACATACATACATACATACATACATACATACATACATACATACACTCATACATACATTAATTACCATAGCATAGCATAGCATAGCATAACCATACCATACCATACCATATCATACCATACATACATACTTCGGATGAACATATATAAATCATTTTGCAACTGAAGGGCTCTTCCCATGTCAGCCACTTTTTTGCTGACCCACTATTGACAGATAGTGACCCTGGTGATCAGAAGTCCCCGAACCATCCGTGGGGCATTCTTCCAAGTACCGCCCAATTTTCCCACAGCTGGGCTATACCTCCATGTTATCATGTTCGTGTTAGATTTGCCCCCCATATCGCAACTATCATCCCCATCTGGTTGGTTCGAAACAGATGGTGATAAGAATTGACTGGGTTAGGGTTTAAAAAACAGCCAGTTATTGTTTCATTGATTGGTGATCACGTAATTAGTTGTATATAATCCATGATTTCAGCCTCAGCCAAGTCCATTCCAATTCCGCATTATATGCATATATATATATACATTATATATATACACATACATATCCCCAGTATATCCTCACACCCTATGGTTTCCATCGTCGTTCTTTCAATCCGGGCCCAACATCCCAGTGCCATCAGCACCTGAGGCATCAGGAGGCCAAGCAACGAGAAGAGCAGTTGAGAGAACATCAGCTGAAGATGCAAGAGGATCGGATCCATCGGATCCTTCGGATGACCATACACCCCTGGGGTTTTTACATACAAAAAAATATGGAAAACCCATGGTTTCCCTTCAAAAATGATCTTTGAAAACTGCTGATATCCTGTGGCTGTTGACCATGTTTTAGCCATGCTGGGCTTTGTTGATTCGGTCTGTTTAAAGGCTTAAGCGGCTTTAATGGGGGGAGGTTATTATCGTTGATTTACCATAAAAGTGATTGGTTTTGTGGCAACGTACTTAACAATCGTGGTCTCTAAACCACCAACAATTGGATAGTTAATTATTAGTCATTCACCTGTTATTTTTGCGAACTCACTACACCCTTACCACCTTTGATCTTCAGCTAGGGAAATCATCCCAAAAATGCCTTACATGTTTTCAAGCGTGGTTTGGAATTTGTGGGGAATGTTCGGCGTGTTGTGGATATTTAAATTCGGTCTAATTTGTTCGCTACATTTCGTTACAGGGAATGAACATCCATCAATGAAGGGGGATTGCGAATCTCAACATGCGAATCATGTCAGATGGGATCGTTTGACGACGTACTGGGTCAACGGCATTCAGGTTTTGTGAGTTTTGTGTGTTTCAGTAATGTTGATGGAGGAGCATCATATCGCACCATGGCGCAGGCCGAACCGTTAAGCCATATTTTTGGATGTCTTAGGTTAGCTATGTGGACACTGGGGATCTGGGACCTGTGATTCACCGAAAAAAAAAACAATTCAATGGCTGATACCCGGAAGTGCACCCTGGGAAAGCTTGCAAAACATGAGTATCAGTGATATATATGATATAATCATAACATTTGCTTATAAGTATATAAGAATGATATATATGACTCAATGACATATGGTATAATGATATATGACATAATATCAAATAGTCAATGACATGTGGCATAGTTATAAGTGATATAACCATTTGCTTGTGACTACCTGGGGCGCACACCCAAACTCAGCCACTGATTTGAAAAACCCTTGGGAATCGCCACTGCGGAAAGCTCAGCATCATGCAAGACTCAAGATGAAAATACAACCATCTTGAAAGATTCGAACATTTGCAGGAGTCTGATAGTAGTCTATTAATGTCTATTATATAATTGACATTAATTATATAATTATCCCATTTGTCGAATCTAGTCGAAAACACACAGGCATTATTTCCGTGTCGTGAAGCAACCACAAGTAATCGACTCAATTCATGAACCTATGGAACAGAGTTTTTTGTGGCTTCGACGCGCAAGGGGGGCCACGGAAGGGTTGCCAAGGTTATGTTTGGAGGTGGTGATGCTGTTCTAGGGAGAGGTGGGGGTGGGGCAGCAACGTCAGATTGGAGGTGGAACGACTGGCAGGATTGGCGGGACGGCAGTCGCGACCCTTACTGGCTTGAGCGAATTCCATCGAGCACAATGGCATGGTGAATTGCCTTGTGCCTGGATTAAACCATATATTATATTAAGCCACCATGTGTGTTTACCCGTTTACCCATGCAGAGGCGGCCATGTCAGAGATCAGGTAGAGCGACAACCCCACATGGGGATGGACCCCTTTTGACCAATAGCCTCTTCGGCAGAAGCCCGGATGTTGGTCAAATCATCATACATTGTGTCATGAATGGAAACAACAACGTATAACCACCCGGCCCGGTTATTAGTTCTGTGTTCCATTATATCCCCATAGAATATCCCGTCACATATTCCAACAATATAATCCAATACATCCCATTGATATCATTTGATATCCATATACTATATCTAATACATAACTAATATTCATTTTTTCCCAAATGGTTATTGGTTATGTTTCCACTTAAAATAGCACTGACTATCCTTCTCACAGCTGTGGCAGTGCCAGGAGTTTCAGGCGCGCGAGCAGCGTTTGTTGGATTCACACCAAGAGCAACGGCAGCAACGAGATATGGAGCTCCAACGCATTCAACAGGAGCAGAGTTGAACCAGCCGTGGACACCGGTTGGATGGTGGTCGCAACTGGGATATCTGCTAAACATACGCAGAAAACGATGGAAAATCACAATTTTAAGAGGTAAAAACATCTATAAATGGTCCGTTTTCCATAGCAAACAGTTTCTGATTGGTGGTTTGGAACATTTTTCATTTTTCCATATATTGGGAATAATCATCCCAACTGACTCACATTTTTCAGAGGGGTTGCAAAAACCAACCAGGTTAAATTACCAGAGGGTAGGGTTATGTGATATTCTTCTGGGATAACCTCTGGTAATCACACGTGGCTGGTAAACATCCACATTTTTTTAAAGATGTTCTTCCCAGCTACCCTTTGGTAAACATACAAAAACTATGGAAAATCACAATGTTTAATGGGTAAATCAACTATTTCTATGGCAATGTTCAATAGCTTTTTGTATGTTTACCAGAGGGTAGGGGATTTCAAATTGCCACGTTTGATGACCGGAGGGTATCACAATGTATCACTGATACCAAGAAGGTGGTGAACTGGTGAGTAATTGGGTTAACCCATGGCCCAGGGAAGCTCAAATTGATAAGCGCATGCCTAAGGCATTGGCGGCTACAGAGGATCACTACTGCGTGTGAGAAAAACATGTTTCTACGTTTGCGCATAGATTAATAAAGTGCTTTGATCATCGCTTCCCGAAAAAATCTGGTCTGGTATTGGATCTGTTTCGTCATATATGTAACCCATACGGGGGTTGTTCAATGCTACGAGAATGGGATTGTTTGATCAAGCGAAGCTTGCCAATCTTGCCAACTTGGTCAACCCGATGTCAACAACCATCCCAGCAATCACACATTTTGGGGTCATTATAGCATATTATAGCCATCATCTCATTACTAGGGGTAAGCCCATTCAAAACCCCAATTAAGAAAAAGGTTTATTACAATGATACCAGAATGTTCCCAAAAACATGATCGCATGGTTATTACATGTTATTACCCCATAGTTGTCAATGATCATCCCATAGATATGTCCCCATTCAAAACCATTGAAGTTGGGTACACCACCTATATATAATTAGTTCCATTAAGATTCATTTTAATCTCCATGATTGTTGTGATTTTTGCTCTCAAAAAATCATGTGTCTTTCTGCTTAAATCACCAATGTGATTGGTTAAATCCCCCAGATGTACCAAAAATCACAATTTTCTGTGTTTCTCAGAATTGTCTGCAAGGAAAAGATGCAGGATAGTCCCATGATTCGCCGGGTTACCCCTTCTGGTTTTCTCTAAATTGTCTTGGCAGCCAACCCAAAAGAATATATGAGGCACCCCCAATTTCAATGGTTTAAAACCTGGTCGGTGGTTTGGAACCATGGAATTTTTTGATTTTACATACATTGCGAATTTCATGGAATTTCATCATCCCAACTGACTTTCATATTGTTCGGAGGGGTAGGTTGAAACCACCAACCAGATTGTTCCCATGGCCATCCGTTGGGCTTGAAAAAACGCATCAGTCGCAGGAGCTCGCAGCGTTACGCAGCGGTGCGAGCGCTGCGAGCGCCTCGCAACAGCTCCAGGAGCAGGCTGGTTTTTTTGTGCCAGCTGAGTCTGTTGAGTCAATTTTGGGATACTCAATGATTCCCAACTGATGAAGTCTATGATTTTCCAGAGGGGTAGGTGGCTCAACCATCAACCAGATGATTATTAAGCATCATTAACCATTAATTGCAGCCATTAATATTAACCATTAATATTAAAATCTGGTTATTTAACATAGCCATGGAAAATCCCTTATAAATGGAGGTTTTAATGGGAACATCATCTATAAATGGGCCATGGGATACAAGTCATAGTTATAGTTATGTTTGGGTTATAGTTATAGTTTTAGTTATGATCCACACACCAGTCTATATCAGCCAGGGGAACAATGATTTAATCTTTGACAAGTCTCCAGATTTGTCACGTTTATTCACGTCCTTATGCTGATATGTGAACATGCATTTGTATACACAATATTAATTTATCATTATTCGCATTTATATCCAAATATGCATGCGCTGTACGTAATTCCTAATTGTGAATGTTTTTTGTCTGAAAGATAGGGCCGGTACACAAACATCTCATGGTTGTTTATCACAATTGTACCATTAGAATTACGCCTTTGGGGTATCTCCCACTTTTGGAAGGACCCGTTCAGAAGATATGCAAAAATAACAATATATCTAAATTTGAGATATTATATCTAAAGACATGTATATCCATAATATATATAATTACGTATATGTATATGTATATGTACATATATGCACAAATATCATGGCTTCAATCTACCCTCTGCTTCGACATAGATATGGAAAATGGATGAAGATGAACCATTTAGTTCGATGATCTACCAGTCAGTTTGCGTTTGTATATTTATATAATATTTATATATACATACGAAATATTCATCATTTGACATGTATCATGACTACATACAACTATCATAGAATTGGATGATGGGAAAATTTACAGGAAAACCCTATATTTGATGGTAAAAACCATGGTTTCCGGTTAAGATTTTCCCCAACAAACCAACCCATTGAAACTACAATTTTAAACACATCGTGGTTCTTCTTCACCCCAAGGAAATTTTAGAGCGTCTTCCAGGTTGCAGAACGGCACGCAAGCCTGGCCCTCAAGCACAACGCCCGGGGCCCTTTTTTGATCGGGGCCTAATCGGCAGGAATTATGGTTTTTAATTGGATAATATGGGATGAATAGCCATGGATACCATCCAAAATCATGGATTTCGTTAGGAAAGATGGTGAGGGCGAATAGAGTGGAATTATAATGGTGAAATAATGATATGTTAGAAATAGAGTGATATATAATGCGATATCTCACCAACAATATTCGTTGTCACAGAAAAAGGAAAAGGGTAGAAACATTATTGATGAATGAGGTGAACCCAACAACAAAGCACTCCCCATTACGAACGCTTCGCAGAGACTCGTTGGTTAATTCTGCAAGCGTTGGTTATTTTTTGTGATCTGGTTCGTGTTGTTGCTGCTGGTGTTGTTGTTTTTGTTCTTGTTGTTTCTCTATAGATGTCCTTGTCCCCATGGTTTGCTGACAAACGAATTACACTGCGGAATGCCTCCTTGTTTTTGAAACTGTTGCGTGAATAGTTGGCCAGCGAAGATTTTTGTTCAAGAAGGTCATCGTTGGTGGAGTCTTGATGGCTGATGTTTTTGGTTTTGATTAATTGTTGCCCTCCTGTAAATTGATATGAATAGGGAGAACACACCATTTGTACATCATGTTCCTTCGGTTTCTTTATTGGTGTTCCATATGTCTTTGTATATTTACCTCAAGGGAATAAGTGGCTCACAACACACATTAGCCATGGTTATAACAATTTTGATATGGGATATTTTGTAATCAGTCAGATTTGTGATGCAACTGCAATGTGGTCCCCCGCTTCGCGTCCCGTGGTCAGTCTCACCATATAAGCTAGATAGATATATTAGGTATGATTTACTAAGTTAACTAACCTTTTGGGGCCGGTTCGTATACCATTCACCAGTTGATTATCAATCAACCACCATTTATAGACATTACATCCCCACTTCCGGTGGTCAGAACCCACATTTGATGGTTATATCCTTATTTTTGTTGGTTAAATGAAGGTAAATTGTTTCTTCCCATCAATTATATCCTCTCAAATCCTCTCAAGATTCCAATAAAAGAAGGCCCATTAAAAACTCATTAGATTCCATTTCCCGTGACAACCCCATGAAATCCTACGGGCCACGGTCCTTAGGAGCAACTGGAAGAACAGCGATTGTCCGCTGAGCAATGGCAGCAACACGCGCAGCAACTGGAACGGAAGAAGGAGGACTTGGAGCAAGAGCTGCTAGGCCTAACATTGGATACACCAAGTGATTGGTTACCCTTGGGTATACAGAAAACGAACTGGAACATCACCATGTTGTAAATGGGTAAATCAACTATTTATATGATCCATTTTCAATAGCTTGAGTCTATTTTTGGAACAGGGAGAGATGAAACATGCAAAATGATATGGTTTTTGACCAGGAAACGTGGGGGATATTGCCAAATATCGTGGTAGATGGGTTACTGTAGGGGGATTTACATATTATTGGTTGAATGGTGATTATTACAGCCCATAACAGGAATACTTATTAACCAACCAGTATAATTGGATGATGGAAATGATCATGGCTAATAATGATTTTACCTGTTTATCTACGTAGTTGTTCCTCCTTGTGCTGGGAGAAACCCTGAAAGAAACTTGCCGAAGTGCAGGGCCATTATGGCACTACAAATCCTGATGGGTTTCCATATGTCCACCTGTTAAAATGTTTGGCAGGCCATTAATTAATCAGTACTTCAAGAGTTGTTTCTAAATGCTTTTCATGGTTGATAAGCATGAACATGCATGAAATTAAGCAGCGAAAATTGTGTTTCAACCAGCCAAGAAGCGGAAAATTGCTAAGAATGCTGAGGATTGGTCAGTCCCGCCATCAGAGATGTTGGGGTGAACGAACTACTGCAAATTACCAGCAATCCAGCAAAGCCCCGATAGCTATTGACATCCCAATCTGTTCAAGTCTAGTTGATCATGACATCTCCATGTTTGCTGGTTAAGTCTCCATTCATTGCCAGTAAAATCTCATAAAATCTGCGAGTTTCAAGAGCCTATTTATGAGAGCGCTCAACAGTGTGCAACAATTAATGGGCACATATTTCAATACGGAGAATGATGATGAAGCATCAAAGTTAGTGGCTGCGGGGTCCCCTAGATAGTTCATTATTGGGTTTGCCACGTAGGCAAACCATAATATGCAATATTATTTAAGTGGAAAATAACTTGTCATAACCATATTTCACCTCCGTTGTATATGGAAATTCCCGGTATGTCATTTTACTTGTATTTTAAGTCCCCATCGGTTCGTCAAGGTTACGTGGCGAGCAAGAGAAGCACAAGGCATGGATCGCTGCAATACTGAGTAGTCAAGGTTTGAATAGGAACTAGTCGAAATCGGAATAGGAACTAAATGATGGTTTTCCATACCGGGTTTGTAATTCAGCAGTTCAATTTTTCCATGGGTTTCCCAAACGGAAAGGATCTACACGTGGTGGATTTCCATATCATCTAGGTATGCAAATGTGTACTGGAGAGTATTCCCACGTATTGATATGGCTTATGTGTTGGTTCTATTTTTGGCTATCCCATTATCTCATATGATCACATGAATTTCAAGCAAAATCGAAGCGATGAAGACTCCAGTTCATCTCATGTTTACTTGCTCACACCCCTATCACCATAGAATAGCCCATTAATATCCATTAATCCAAGTGGCTAACAATGACTATTGATACCATAGTTGATCCCTTTCATCTAGCTGGTGTGTACGGGATGTTTATCTCATTGTCTTTCATATTGATACGCTTGTTCCTGGTGTTCACCAAATCTTTCATTTAGTTCATAAACAGTTGATGAAGACCATATATACCATATGCTGCATTCCTATCACGACACGCCTATTCACGTATACCGTATACTATCCAATTTAGGCCCTGTTCATGATGTTTGCCATATGGCATACATACATATATAGATAGATAGATGGATGGATGGATAGATAGCTAGATAGATGGATGGATGGATAGATAGATACACACTATCCTATTGACTACCATGATTTTTCCATTACACAATGATCAATCATATCACGTCTCCATATGTTTGCCACACAGTCGCTCTCCGTTTTGAGGAGTCGCACCTTCGCAAGCAACAAGCAAAGCTGCGAAGGCAGCTGGCCCAAAAGGAGGTGCCGTGGCCTCCCGGGCCGGCCTTGGGGCCTTGGGGCCTTAGTGGCCGTGGAAAGCAGTTGGGGTAACCTCTGGTAAACATACAAAACACTATTGAAAATTGCCATAGAAATAGTGGATTTACCCATGAATAGCATGGTGATTTTCTATAGCTTTTTGTATGTTTACCAGGCCGGGTAACCATGAAATGTGGAAATGTGGGTAATTGGGATGGTTAATGTGGGAATCAGTGGCATGATTATGGGAATCAGTGGCTATAATGGATGATAAATTAACTACTAATGTGGGTAAAACAATAGTACACCATCCCCCGGTCATCACCATGTTTTGGTTGGTGGTATAAACTTACCATTCCTAGTCATGGGTGGTAAAAATGACATTGTTTCAACCACATTAATTAATACTTATGGTGGTAAAACTGTTTTTTTTCTGCACCCACACTTACTAATAGTAGTTTCCAAGTACTTGATGTACAGGAAAGGGGCCCTCCAGTTTCAATAGGTATAGGCTAAGGGGTTTGTTTGTCCACCCTCCTAATCCTGGTTTAGCATTGCATCTATTCATTTTGGGAGCTATTGGGGATACTTGATATTAGGGGAATGAAATTATATATGTTTACAATTACTGTCTTTTATCCCTCTTGGTTGTGCAATAGGAATGTAACCAATAGCAAATCCATACAGTATATGGTACTTCATTAGGGCCAACCATGTGTACTCACAAATTAGCTAAGAACTCATAGATGACTCACACTTACTGACTACTCTTATCCAAAAGTATGATAGGCCTTGAAACCAGCAACCATCAGTGATGCCATGATTATATTTGATTGAATACATGCTTTGATGTTTATTATATATATATGTATAATAATATATATATACACACCATTACACCATGTAAAGCAACATGTTTTGATTTATGTACATACAGCAGCTAACCATCACTGATGGCATGTTTGACAGTTATATATTTACCGTTGGTTGATCTGGAGGTGATATCTACCAGTTATCTCGCTGAGCCAGGAACAGCTCAGCAGTATGAAGAAAGCCGTGGAGGATCTGAAGGCAAGAGTTGATCGTGTTTGTGGCGGCGGCAACATGCCCCATTTACCCTTTGGTAAACATACAAAAAGCTATTGAAAATGGCCATTTAGTTCGTTGATTTACCCATTAAAAACGGTAATTGGCCATAGTTATGTTAGTTTACCAGAGGATATAGCGATTTGAAAATTAATTATTGATGATGGTTGGTTGGTGATTACAGTGATTTCCATTTTCATGATTTGTGGGGATTATAACATATTATAGCCATCATTCAGAAAGGGGGTAAATTGATGGATGTATACAAATAGTTGTTACATGACATGATGTATCATCATCAATTACCATCATCCTTATTTAATTGTCAAATTACCATCAACAATTGTTATAAATGACCAGAAAGGGGGTTCAAACCCTCCTGGACCATCATCCTTTGTGTTCTCCATCACTCGGTGCATGACTAGGTGCTAGCGATCTCCAGTGGTTTCAACTAATTCGCCTCGTCCCCATGGCTACAGCATTGTGAGGTCGTGAACGAACTATGGCCACAGTTGTTTATTGGATTTGCCGATTGGGTGTGTATGATCAGTTCTATCTCAAGTGTTGTTTCTCAGACCGTTTAGTATTGTGGGACAATGCAAGATGGTGCCCTCTAGTGATAAGTTGGTTTTCAAACCAGAGTAACTAAAGTTATCTCAGTTATCTCAGTTCACAAACCCAACAGTTGGCGTTACCCTCTGGTAAATTAACATAGACCCTGGCATTTTTCGGGCTTGGAAGATGAGTTTCCATTAAAACTAAGCTATTTTCAGGGTCTATTGGATGTTTACCAAGTTAGCGCTGCGGCGGCTTCCTACAGCACCGCACCAAGCTCCGTAACGCTTCGCCGGGTTCACGCTTCGCCCGTTGGATCATCGCAGGACCGTGTGGTTCAGCTCAGCATCCGCAACGAGCGCGAAGAACTGGACGCTCAGAACAAGCGTTGTCCAAAAAACTCTCGGAGGGGCCCCCCTTTTTGGGTCAAAATTGAGGTGTTTCTCGGTGGAAATAACCATTCATAACAATTATTAATCCTTATTAACCATTAATACCCAATTATTTATAAGAATTACCCTCTGGTAAATCAACATAGACCCTGAAAACAACGAACAATTTTGAGTGGAATTTAATCTTTCAACCCCCAAGTCAGGGTCTATGTTAAATTACTGGAGAGTACTGTCTGACCTGGGTTTTAGGAGAAATACTGTATACCGAACTAGTTTGTTGGATGGGCTTAATAGACAACAACGAAAGTTCCGATCATCGCACGGATAGGGCGGATACCTTTGGTGTTGTACAATCAAACATGGCTGGCTGGGAAATCGCCGTTTATGAAACGGAGACATCTAGCTGGGAAAATCATCCATAAGCAAAAATTGGGATTTTCAACAAGACAGGTTTGAATACCAAAGGGGAATGGGATATAATTAGCGGGGATAGAATACGGATGATAGTCAAATAGTCAATATGAGATATTGATGGGATAGTAATTGGACGACTAATCGTCAGGATTGCTCCCTCACCGCCAGAAACGTTTGGTGGGGCAAATGGGCCGAGAGCTACTTGGTGCAGTTGGAGTTATTTGTAGAAGCATCGTTATCTCCAAAAGTTAGGATATATCATGATTTATCCCTATATTATATCACTTGTACCCCCAAGTGCCGGATGCCTCACATGGTGTGAATAAGCCCAAGTAACAAACCAAGGAGTCCGGCAATGCTCGCCGTGCTGAAACGGAAGTGCGGAAGCGCATCAGTGGACAAGTGGCTTGACGGAAGGGAGTGCGAGGCAATCGTCATGTGGGGGCATGATCGAATTAGATTCCGTGAGGGGATTTTCATTGGTATATATGTATAGTATTGCATAGTCTGTAATTATATTCCACATGTGTTTTTTTATGGGTGGATGTATAGTGTGGATGTATAGTCATAGTCTATAGTTATATTGCAGGTATTCAAATAGGTATTTCATGTTTGGGATACATGTATGGTACAGCCCAGACCCCACCATGTCATGGTCATGGTCTCTGAGCGGGCTCTTCTGGGATGGTTGGGGGTATAGGAATAGCATAGCATATGATCAATGGGAGATCTCCAGGATCCTAAAATGGAGGTACGTTAGTACCATTTTTCAGGCCATATTTTGTGGGGATATTCCCTGAAATTTAGGCCTCAAAAATAGGCCATATATATGGTAGGTACCTCCAATTTTTATCGGATCCTGAAATGGCCATTGATATGACCAGTTCACACCCTCGATGATTGACAAGCCATCAATCTATGGCATTGAATGATGTGACCCGCAATGATAGGACCCCATTCGGGGAATTCTTGTGGAAAAGAATGGGAAGCTGGTGGAAATGGATGTCCCATCATCTGTGCATTCCAATTAGGAAGTGGTTGAAAACAGTATTGCAAAACTGCAAAATGTAGGGTTGTGACCCTGTGTATATATTTATGTATGTATGTGTATATGGGTATGGATCAATACCTATTAATACCATTTTTAGGGGGATGAACATCCATTTACCAGCTATTTTGATGTTCACCAGGGGCACAAGGTTTTGACACACTGCCATATATATATATATCATGTTAGTGGAATGTCCAGAATTTGGGACACAGATCGGGTCCATGATTTTGCCAAGTTTACGAGGCTGCTTCAGTGCGCAGGTGCCAACAAATCAGGTTACCCGGCCTGGTAAACGTTTACAAAAAGCGAACTGGAAAATGACCATTGAAATAGTGGATTTACCCATTTAAAATTGTGATTTTCCATGGGAAATCATCATTTTTAATGGGAAAATCCACTATTTCTATGGCCATTTTCAATAGCTATGTTAGTTTACCAGAGGGTAATGACAACAAGAATCCAGTTCTCTTCTGGAATCCCAGAGAGGTACTTAAGTTCTTGTCCAGCTGGGTCCCCGGCATTCCCCCAAGGAAGAGAAGATGCAGCACTTGAAGGAAAAGGCTCGGTCTTGCTGCAGGACTAGGGGTGAGTTTATGGGCTATAATCGGCTATAATCGGCTATAAGTTCAGCTCCACAAGCCAGATGCCTTCCAGTCCAGCAATGTTTCTAGGTGCCTGCTGGCCAGTTCTTCTCGCAAGGCTTCATGCCAGGTGTCTCATTTACAAGGAGGCATTGGAGATAAAGGATGGGAAGATGAAATCCAAGAGCTGCCAGGCTATCACCAACGAGGTGGATTTCTTCCAGGCAGCCGCGACTGATCTGCAAGGTGGCCACTGGAAGCTTCTCAAGGCCTTCTAAAGAGACCTACCGCTGTCACATCCAAAGAATGACAGCGCAAGAGGAGCGTGGAAGAGTCTGTGCTCATCCGGCAGCGGGAGTGCAAGAAGAGAAAAGCACCGAAAGCCATGGCCAAGATTATGGTTATAAGTTGTGTATACATATATATACATATATATACATATATACCATATTATAAGTATAGAAACAATGACTACACGTTAGGGTATAATAACCCTAGAACAATGGTTATATACCTCTCTCATATACATATATATCCACTGAGTTCACTGGAGCCACATCCCCTAAGTAGGCGAGTTTGCAAGAGTCTTTTTTCCCGAATGCGTAGCAAGGGTTCCCGTTTCACTCTGGGGGTCTGGGGGTTGAGGGTGTGTTCGCTCGACGTTGCGTTTGTGGTCGCAACCGTTCGCAACCGTTCGCAACCGTCCGCGTGAGGACCATATGGCCGTGCCTATGGTAAGTTCTGCAGAGGTGGTCATTTTTGGAGGTTTCAGACGTCTCGTTGCTTCGTTTTGCGTGGCAGGCGTGGCACTTCGTGACATTCAGACGTGTTTTGTAACGTGTCGAAAGTCGTTTTGTGTGGCAGGCGCAATACTTTTGCGACGTTTTCAGAAGATGTGTTGCATTTTTCGTGGCAGGCGCAGCACTTTGGACGTGTCCATCGTCATTTTTCGTGGCAAGCGCAGCACTTTAGACGTGTCGTGTTGCGTGTTTATTGCAAATCGCATTGGCAGGGCTGCGTCAAGTGGCGACAAGGTGCAAATTCCGTGGCAGGCGTGGCATTTGGTGCGATGTGCTGAAAATTGACGGAAGCCTCGCACGAAACATTGATTTTGAGGTTGCAAATTTTCAGGTTCTAAGGAAAACTCGTAGGAAAACGTCGATTTTGAAGCAACGAAGTGTGAAAATTGGAGGAAGTCTCGCACGAAATGCTCGTTTTTCTGCAGCAATGTGTCTCATCTCGAGTCTCTCGTTTTCCTGTGGCGTCGCCGTGTCTATGGGGGAAGCTCCGCACTCCACACTCTACACTTTACACTCCACACTCCACAATTTACACTTTAGACTCCACACTCTACACTTTACACTTTGCACTGTACACTCCACACTCCACACTCTACACTTTACACTCCACACTCCACACTTTACACTACACACTCCTTACTTTACACTCCACACTTCACACTCCACACTTTCCACTCCACACTCCACACTCCTCACTTTACACTCCACACTCCACTCTTTACACTCCTCACTCCACACTTTACACTCGTCACTTTACACTCTACACTCCACACTCTACACTTTACACTCTACACTAAACACTCTACACTCCACACTCCACACTCTACACTTTACACTACACTCCACTTTACATTTCACACTCCACACTCCACACTCTACACACCACACTTTACACTTTCCACTCCACATTTCACACTCCACACTCTACACTTTACACTCCACACTACACACTTTACACTTTACACTCCTCACTCCACACTCTACACTCCACACTCCCCACTTTACACTCCACACTCCACACTCTACACTTTCCACTCCACACTCCGCACTCCACACTCCACACTTTACTGTACACTCCACACTCCACACTTTATACTTTACACTCCTCGCTCCACACTGCACACTTTACACTCCTCACTTTACACTCCACACTGCACACTCTACACACCACACTCTACACTTTCCACTCCAGACTCCACACTCTACAATATACGCTCCACACTCCACACTTTACACTCTACACTTTACACTCTAGACTTCACACTCTACAATTTACAAACTCCACACTCCTCACTCCACACTTTACACTCCTCACTTTACACTCCACACTCCTCACTCCACACTTTACACTCCCCACTTTACACTCCACACTCCACACTTTGCACTTTACACTCCTCACCCCACACTCCACACTCTACACTCCACACTTTACACTCCACACTCCTTACTTTACACTTTACACTCCATACTCCACACTCTACACTTTACACTCCGCATTCTACACTTTACACACTCTACACTCCCCACTCCACACTGTACACTCCACACTCCTTACTTCACACTCCACACTCCACACTCTACACTTTCCACTCCACACTGCAGACTGGTAACAAGCGAAACATGCACAAGACTGTTCAAATAAACTATTGCAGAAAGGTATTGTGCGTGACTTCATAACCATGTGTTTTGACATCTGTACCATTAACATACGTGTGAGCATTCGGGTTCGTGGGCTTCATCTTGTTTTTCACTGGTGATCTTAACTGGGTTATGATGTAACAGTTGCAACCCATTATATGTTACCCAGGATTCCCCTATTAATGCCAAATATATATATATATATGTGATTGGTGGTTTGGAACATTTTTTATTTTCCATAATATATGGGATAATCCTTCCCATTGACGAACTCATATTTTTCAAGATGGTTAAACGGTTAAAACCACCAACAATATATATATATAATTATATCCTTATATCCCCTAATAACTGGCTTGCATCCCATCATGATACCCAGCCATAATTGGTTTAGACCAACTACTGTCACCGACAAGGGCCCATTTGAGCACCATATATTCTCTAATAGGGGTGCCTATATCGCTTTGATATCCAAAGGAAAGTCCTTCCCGTTGTAAAAGAGGTTAGTTTGGCAACTCTACTCCAAGTTATTAAAACCCAGCAAGTGTCTCCATAATAGTCCAGTTCATCTCACGATTGCCTAGTTTTCAGGAGTTGGGTGAACTTACATCCACCATTATATATATATACACATATTCCCTTCTAATTAGGATACATCCCATTTGTAACTGTAGGAAAATAAGGGATATATATATATATATAATGAATATATACCTCAGTTCTAATGTGGATCAGCATTTCAGCATCCAGTTACATCACCCTTATATCACCATTGTAGCCCATTATACCTGTAGAATCAAGAGATATCCCAGGGTGCTGGACCCCATCGGTCGCCAGGTCACCCGTCTGTCAAAGGAACTGCAGGAGGCAAAGCAGCTGCAGAACCAGGATGCCTATCGTACGGCGGAGATGGCACGGGAGCCCAGGTGAAAGCTGTGATTTCTTTGAGGCTTTACTGGGGGGTTTTATGATCATCCATTTACAGATGGATTTTCCATGATGTTCCATTATATAGATGGATTTTCCATTATAAACAATCCGGCTATTGGGGTTATCCCCCATTTTAGGAAACCTTCATATGAGGATTAGATGAACATTATATGGGAAAAATTGGAGATTTGATGGAAGACATGGTGGCTAGCCTGTATCTAGCCCAGTTGGTTGATGTTTATATGCTCAGTTTTTGTGAATCATGTTTGCTGATTTTTCTGGGTTGAAGACCACTTCTTGAAGAATGAGTGAGCCATTTGGTTTCTGAATTGTTTCTGCAATTGAAGGTTTCAGCCATTCTTGAAGAAGGTTGAAGGACTTCGCGATTGTTTCTGCAATCACATACTGTATCCCATAGACCCCGGCGGTTCATGGTGCTAAGGATGTGCGCGAGGCAGATCTGGAGAAGCTCTTGCAGGAAAGTGCGAAGGACCAGATCACCATCATGAGTGGAAAGTGGGGCCCCCAAACGTAATGATTGCCGCTCTAGAACCCAATCTAACTAGTTCGATATGGGTATGGATCAATACCTATTAATACCATTTTTAGTGGGATGAACATCCATTTACCAGCTATTTTGATGTTCACCAGGGGTACAAGGTTTTGACACACTGCCATCTAACTAGTTCGATATATCCCCCATGAACAATCATAAACCTGAGTTATTGTAGTGAACCGCACCCAGTTAGCCATCATAAATCAGCTATGAGATCCCTATGTGTTAAATTTCCATGTGTCCTATTTTTTATGGGTTGAATCACCATTCCACTCATTCCACCATTGTTTCGGGGCCCCACATCGGAGCGATCAGGGGTTATACCCTACCTGGATTTGTTGAAGATAATCTGTATTTTTTACCAATGGGAAATCCAGGCAATTGTTGTGTTTTTGGGGGTTCCTGAAGCAAATCCAAGTATATATTGGGATTATATCATAATCCCAAGTAAATCTTCCAATAAATCCCGCATGGTGTGAGCAAATCTCATTAATCCCCATTTATCCATTCAGTACGATTCAATCAGCATTCAATTTGAGATCCATCATGTTCTGCTTCATCCATCTTCATCCATTGAGTTTCCCTAGCTTTCTTCCCTTAGTTCCCATGCATTAAGTCCCAGTAATCCCGTGAAAGCCATGAGTTTCCCCCGAAAATCCCTGGAAGCGACGAGCTGGCAGCCTTTCAGCCAGGAGTTGGAGATGAAATCCAGTGAGACCAAACGCCTCGAGGTGCGACAAATCCATAGGGGAAAGTGGGAAAACCCGTGAAAAACTAGAATATTACAGCAAGTGCATTAGAACATATTGATGCAATTGATGTAAACGTGTCATGAATTCCAATGCTACTATGATTGTTTGCCTGTGTAATGTAGACATTATTGTAAAGATAGTAGTCTGACTGTTAGTAATTGTAGACATATTAAGCAATCATGTGATCAACACGACTATAATCACTAATATTAACTTAAGCATTACTATCACTAACATTATTTTTGAAATTGGGAGACAGTGAAACAAAACATGAGTATATAATATTTAATGATGATGTACAGCAAGCAACCATGTTAAGTAAGCTAGGAATGATTTGCCGGTCTTTGACCGCCTCTTTGCAGAATTCAGGAGCTGCACCTTGAACGCCACTCCAAGATCGGGGCAACGACGTTGGAGGAGAACACCTTCTACGGATTGCCTGGATGTGTACAGTATGAGGATTCTCAAGCTGGTGTAATTGCTGCAAATGCTGAGGACGCAACATGGGGAGCAAGGATTACAACGACGGTGTCCTCTCCTCGTGCAATTGACGCCTGTGAATTTGGCTTGATATCAGCAGAAATTGCTTTGATGACCTGGTTCTACATCATGTTCGACAGAGTTGGTGCCAATGCTCTCGGCTTTGATGGAGCCAGGCGTCGGACCGTTCGAGTGAAGGTTTGGGATCACAGCTTTGCAGGGTGCCCACGCTGTTGTTTCCCCGACCGTATATATTGACGCCGTGGATTATCACCAAGAGAGAGAGAGAGAGACTTGGTGTATAGAATTTGGCGTATATATATATATATATGTACACATTTATATATATATATATTTATTTATTTATATATACGTATAATGGGTGGCAACTCAGATACTAACAAATGAAATCACCAGTTACTCGCCAAGCAAGGTGGAGGTTCATGGGGTCAACATGGGTCAACAGCAATGCCCTTTGGAAAAAAAACACAACTGGGAGAGGCTTTCGTATACCATCATCATTTACCACCCTTACTGGTTGGTGCTTTGGAACATGAATGGATTACCCTCTGGTAATTTAACAGTTTGCTATTGAAAATAGTGGATTTATATACCCAGCTAGAAAATGGTGGATCTTTCCATAGTTTTCTGTAAGCGTTTTCCAGGCCGGGTATGACTTTCCATTCACTTGGGAATTGCAACATCGACTCCGTGGATTCCAACTGCTGGATACCAACTGGACTTTGCAAAAACGTCGTGAAAACAATCCCGTAAAAATCGAAATATATAACTCCCAATATGTGTCCATCGATTATGTGCTTTAATATGTTTATCTTATCTTCGGTCCACTTAAGCCCCATTATAGTCTTCTTGTCAGTTTTTACGTAGCAATTATTACATTACCAATAAGCATGTTTTTTTTTAAACAAAAAAAGAAAAACATGTATTAACGACTATTACTCTTACTATTGCTTGCTACTATTATTGCTATGATCCTGTAATTGTCATTGTTATGCTAATTGTTCTTGTTATACATATACATACGTATGACAATGCAATAAACATGTCAACAACTCACCATTGTTGGTAATAAACATGTCTCTCTATCTATATATATATAATTGTCTTGTTGGTAAAAACCTCCATGGGTCATCTCCTAATATTGATCGTTCTTGCTAAATATAAACCATCCCTTCCCTCGTTCATATTAAACATCCCCTTAGAAACCATGGTCTAGTAGGAAATTTCCACATTTTTTTGGTACCATTTATGGGGTCTTTAATGTTAGGGTGATGGGATTATTTATGGATTATTATATTGTTGATAACCAATATTATTATAGTTGACTTACCTATGAAAAATTGTGATTTTTCAGTTTGCTATGTTAAATTACCAGAGGTATAAAATCATCAAAAAATCTTCGCGTAGCCTTTGGTGACCATCCCCATAGACGGTTTACTCAGTGTACTTACTGCGTGGGATGCACCAGGGCTATGACCATGTACTAAGTGGGATGAACCACCAAGTACAGTACTGGTTTTATATCAGATCCAAAGATCGGGTTATGGGATAATCATCTTCCCATTGACGAACTCATATTTTTCAAGATGGTTAAAACCACCAACCAGTATATATACATATAATGGGTGGTAACTCATTTACTAACACATGAAATAACCACTTACTCGCCCAAGGTGGAGGTTCATGGGATCAACAGCAATGCCCGGAAAAAAAAAAAACAACTGGGAGAGGGTTTCGTATACCATCATCATTTACCACCCTGGTGTGTGGTTTGGTTGGTGCTTTACCACCCTTATCTGGCTATGGATCAATACCTATTAATATCATTTTTAGAAGAATGAACATCCATTTACCAGCTATTTTGATGTTCACCAGGGGTACAAGGGTTTTGACCCACTGCCATCTAACTAGTTCGATATATCCCCCATGAACAATCATAAACCTGAGTTATTGTAGTGAACTACACCAAGTTAGCCATCATAAGTCAGCTATGAGATCCCTATGTGTTAAATTTCCCAGGTTTTGACCCACTGCCATATAAACATGTCCCGCCCCGTTGCAGGCGGAGCTGCAGCGTCAGCAGCGCCGCTGCGCCGAGGCGGAGGCGGCGCTGAAGGCGGAGCGGGGCGTCTTGGAGGCGCACCTTTCCGACCCGTCGCGGAAAAAGGTGGATTTTACCCGGGGGTTGGTAACTGTCCCATTTTGGGTATATTGGACATCACCTTATAGTAGCCATTATAGACCATATACCTAATGGTTGGGTGATGTTCAATGGGGACATTTAATGACCCATGTTATTACCGCAAAAAACTGGAGATATAATGGGATGATAATGTATTATAATGGATTATAAGGGTGAGTTAACCATGATCATTAGACATGAGCAAGCCGTGACACCGGGTGGAGATCGTCAGCATCAAGGCTTTTCACTCCGGTACACGAGTTGTCGTCCAAGGCGAGGACCTGATGCAGCCTTGGCGCCTTGGCGTCATCCGAGACTATTACCCTCTGGTAAACTAACATCATGGGCCATGGGAAATCCCCTATAGACCTATAGATGGAGGTTTAAAATATGTGTTTTTTAACGGGAAAATCATCTACCTTTTGGTAAACGTTTACAGAAAACTATGGAAAATCACCATTTTTCATGGGTAAATCCACTATTCCTATGGCCATTTTCAATAGCTTTTGTATGTTTACCAGAGGGTACAAAAATGTCCTAGAAATGCAGGCTGTACTCACGTGCCTTCAGTGGCAAATCACCAAAAACACCAGCAGTGTCGTTTTCTTCACCTCACAGATTCTATGGTGACGCTTCACACACTGAGCCGTGGACACTCAAGCAGTCGTAAACTCCGGGCAGTTCTTTCAAACACCAAGGCTCTTCTGCTTGCGTCCGATGTACACCCAATCTGGGGGTACATCTCCACCAAACAAGACCCGGCTGACAGGCCTAGCAGAAGGCCTGTTCGAAAGTAATGGGTAAAAAGGCCATCTATGTAGAAGGACGCCATCTATGGAGGAGAGAGTTGAGCAGGGAAAGAAGCTTTGGAATTTAATGGAAATCCGGCTGCGGCTGTGCAGTTGCTGTTCGTGATTTAACCATGGGGCTCAATCAGCAAACATAGAAATGATGCTGATAATTTAATGTTTTGCATTTAAGGATCAAATATGTTTTTTTTCCCAGCAGGAATGGGCATGTAATGTTGATAAATGATGGTTGGTCGATCATTCAAAGTTGATTGTTGTTATTATTGTTGTTATTATTATTATGGTTGGTGTTGATTGGGTTAACAAAGGGACAGAAAAATCTAAGATGGACCCTTGCCAACCAAAATTGAGATATAGTTGATGATCGTTGAGTAGGGATTATTCTAGCTCGGGTAATTTACTGTAGCTATGGCAAATCACCATTTTTAGTAGGTAATTCATCATAAAACAGCAATAAAAGGGCCGTGACTTCATTCAAAATCAGAGAGGAATCCTAATGCCAGGGTTGAACATGGCTGCAGTGGAAATTGGAAAAGCTGAAGAAACAACACTTACGTGGCAAGGCCGTATTTTGGAGCTGGGACAATCCTGTTTAGAATTCAGAAAAAAACATGGTTTTGAATGTTTGAAACAGCTGGCTCTAAATCAAAAAACACCAACCTCTATGATTGAAGGTAATTAAGTGTCCCGATTTGTCTTGATGTTTGTTGATTCATGGATACATGATATGTTCAAGCTGTGAATAGGTATTTCCATGTTTGCTGGCATAACCATGTCCTCCTTATTTTTGGTGATCTTCCCAAAGTAAGATCCATTGTTGTTTTTTATTATCCTCGTTTGATCGCGATTACGCATCCCTTCTTGGATGTGTATCCCATTTAGTATGTCATGCATACATATCAATATTTTGAGAAAACAGCTATGTATGGGATAGTTTGGGATATACATTCAGTCATGATCACATTCAGTTTATATACAGATATATGCAATATAATAATGTATAATATATATATATATGTATACACACAGGTGATTGCTAGAAAAGTCGCATACTTTCCCCACATCAATGGTCCCCCGGTCCAGGGTGAAGCTCGACTAGTGAAGCAGCAGGGCGAGGAGTAACGGCTGGAACGTCTGGTCCAAAAATGGAGCTTTCAATGGGAAAACCATGCGAAATTTATGGGAACTTATCGGAAATATATAGGAAAATCCATGAACCTTTATTGTAAATGGAGGTTTATAGCTGGGAAGATCATCGAACTAAAAGGGTGAGGATTTTCCATGATTTTCCAGCAGGCCACGTTTGATGATACCTGAGGGTAGGTGAAATGTAGTGATCTGTTAGGTACTGTATACCAGTTTCTTTTCAACTCTGCACACTACATCGACCCCCTCGGCCCCTGGATGAAATGTAAGGGGACCAGTTGGAAGCATCTACAAGAAGCAGACTGGCTGCAAGTAATGCTTCCAATTGGTTGATTTGTGCTGCCACACTTGCAGTAGGCGCAGTAGGCAGTTTTCAGCGTACCATCCATGCTGCTGGGTTTGGACGTGACACATCCACACGGTACGAATTTCTTTCGATATGCCGATATGCATTGGGTAAACATGGTAAATTCTGTGGTTATACCCTATTTATACCCTCTGGTAAACGTTAACAAAAAACGATGGAAAACCACCATTTTCCATAGGTAAATCAACTATAAACGGCCATTTTCAATAGTTTTTTTGTCAAAGGAAGTTTAGGGGGAGAAACTTCCGTGTTACGGACTTTTAGAATGTCAGGGAAAGAGTTAGTCAAAGAAAGAGTTAGTGAGGGAAAGAGTTATTCAAAGAAAGAGTTAGCAAAGAAACAGTTAGTCACAGAAAGAGTTAGTCAAAGAAAGAGTTCGTCAAAGAAACAGTTAGTCAGGGAAAGAGTTAGTCAAAGAAAGAGTTAGTGAGGGAAAGAGTTAGTCAAAGAAAGAGTTAGTCAAAGAAAGAGTTAGTCAAAGAAAGAGTTAGTGAGGGAAAGAGTTAGTCAAAGAAAGAGTTAGTGAGGGAAAGGGTTAGTCAAAGAAAGAGTTAGTCAAAGAAAGAGTTAGTCAAAGAAAGAGCAAAGAAAGAGTTAGTAAAGAAAGAGTTCGTTAGGGAACGAGTTAGTCAAAGAAATTGTTCCCTCACTGTAAATGGGATTGCAAGTGGTGCTGGTGGAGGAGTTGCCGATGGAGTTTTGAAGGAGGTCTCGCACGAAATGCGTTTTTGAGAGATAGCAGATGCACGAAAGCCTATGTTTTTCCATACAAAATCCGTCCCCGAACCTCGATGATCTACCTCTGCGGTGCGACGGTTGCGAGACGGTCTCGTGTGTGGTCGGATCATTCTCGGATCATGCTCGGATCATTCTTGGATCGGTTCCGCATTGTAAATGTGGTGTCACCTGTGTTTCGTGCATTTGTGGTCGACAGAATTCCATTGTGATTTGCAACTGTAGGATCGTTCCCGCATTGTAAATGGGGTTGCAAGTGTTGCTGGTGGACGAGTTGCTGATGGAATTGCATTGTGATTTGCAACTTTAGGATCGTTCCCTCACTGTAAATGGGATTGCAAGTGGTGCTGGTGGAGGAGTGGCCGATGGAGTTTTGGAGGAAGTCTCGCACGAAATGCGTTTTTGAGAGATAGCAGATGCACGAAAGCCTATGTTTTCCCATACAAAGTCCGTCCCCGAACCTCGATGATCTACCTCTGCGGTGCGACGGGTGCGAGACGGTCTCGTGTGTGGTCGGATCATGGTCGGATATTCTCGGATCATTCTCGGATCGGTTCCGCATTGTAAATGGGGTGTCACCTGTGTTTCGTGCATTTGTGGTCGACAGAATTCCATTGTGATTTGCAACTGTAGGATCGTTCCCGCAATGTAAATGGGATTGCAAGTGGTGCTGGTGGATGAGTTGCTGATGGAATTCCATTGTGATTTGCAACTCTAGGATCGTTCCCGCAATGTAAATGGGATTGCAAGTGGTTCTGGTGGATGAGTTGCCGATGGAGTTTTGAAGGAAGTCTCGCACGAAATGCGTTTTTGAGAGATAGCAGATGCACGAAAGCCTATGTTTTTCCATACAAAGTCCGTCCCCGAACCTCGATGATCTACCTCTGCTGTGCGACGGGTGCGAGACGGTCTCGTGTGTGGTCGGATCATTAAGGAATCTCGGATCGGTTCCGCATTGGAAATGTGTATGTTGTCACCTGTGTTTGTTGCATTGTGGTTCAGACAAGAAATTACATGCATCATGTGATTTGCAACTGTAGGATCGTTCCCGCAATGTAAATGGGATTGCAAGTGGTGCTGGTGAATGAGTTGCCGATGGAATTCCCATTGTGATTTGCAACTCTAGGATCGTTCCCTCACTGTAAATGGGGTTGCAAGTGGTGCTGGTGGAGGAGTTGCCGATGGAGTTTTGAAGGAAGTCTCGCACGAAATGCGTTTTTGGCGCTAGTGATTTTCCTTCTAAAAATCCTTTTAAAAAGTGCTTCAGAATCGTCTTTTTTTCGCTCTGGCGTCGAGATCCGGTTTTGGAGCTACAATTTCCGACGCCGTTGCGCGTAGTTCTATTGTGTTTTGCAACTCAGTCTCCGCAGATCGCATTGTAATGGCTGCGTCAAGGTTGCTTCATGCTGTGGCTGCATGGGTAATACTATTGTCTTTTGCAGCTGGACTTTGTAAATCGTATTGGAGTGGCTGCATGAAGGCTGCGACAGTGATTTGTCAGCAGATTTTCTCCATTTTGGCGCTATTGATTTTCCTTCTCAAAATCCTTTTAAAAAGTGCTTCAAAATCGTCTTGTTTTCGCTCTGGCGTCGAGATCCGGTTTTGGAGCTACAATTTCCGACGCCATTGCGCGTAGTTCTCTTGTGTTTTGCAACTCAGTCTCCGCAGATCGCATTGGAATGGCTGCGTCAAGGAGTTTTGAAGGAAGTCTCGCACGAAATGCGTTTTTGGCGCTAGTGATTTTCCTTCTAAAAATTCTTTTAAAAAGTGCTTCAAAATCGTCTTTTTTTCGCTCTGGCGTCGAGATCCGGTTTTGGAGCTACAATTTCCGACGCCGTTGCGCGTAGTTCTCTTGTGTTTTGCAACTCAGTCTCCGCAGATCGCATTGTAATGGCTGCGTGAAGGTTGCTTCATGCTGTGGCTGCATGCGTAATACTATTGTCTTTTGCAGCTGGACTTCGTAAATCGTATTGGAGTGGCTGCATGAAGGCTGCGACAGTGATTTGTCAGCAGATTTTCTCCATTTTGGCGCTAGTGATTTTCCTTCTAAAAATCTTTTTAAAAAGTGCTTCAAAATCGTCTTTTTTTCGCTCTGGCGTCGAGACCCGGTTTTGGAGCTACAATTTCCGACCCAGTTGCGCGTAGTTCTATTGTGTTTTGCAACTCAGTCTCTGCAGATCGCATTGTAATGGCTGCGTCAAGGTTGCTTCTTGCCACGGCTGCATGCGTAATACTATTGTCTTTTGCAGCTGGACTTCGTAAATCGTATTGAAGTGGCTGCATGAAGGCTGCGACAGTGATTTGTCAGCAGATTTTCTCCATTTTGGCGCTAGTGTTTTTTTGTTGCACGTAGGTTTAGAGCAGTGTGACGTGTGGGGCGTGAAGAATGCAGTTTGAAGTGTGCAGTGTGAAGGAAGCAGTGGGAAGTGAGAAGTGTGGAGTGTGGAGTGTGAAGTTTAAGTTTGGAGTGCGAAGAGCGCAGTGTGAAGTGTGAAGTGTGAGGTTTGAAGTGTGAAGGAAGCAGTGAGAAGTGTGAAGTGCGAAGTGAGAAGTGTGAAGTGTGCAGTTTGGAGTGTGAAGTGCGAAGTGAGAAGTGTGAAGTTTGGAGTGTGAAGTTTGGAGTGGGAAGGAAGCAGTGAGAAGTGAGAAGTGTGAAGTGTGGACTGTGAAGTGTGGAGTGTGAAGTGCGAAGTGAGAAGTGTGAAGTTTGGACTGTGAAGGAAGCAGTGAGAAGTGAGAAGTGTGAAGTGAGAAGTGTGAAGTGTGGACTGTGCAGTGTGGAGTGCGAAGAGCGCAGTGTGAAGTGCGAAGTGTGAAGTGTGAGGTTTGGAGTGTGAAGGAAGCAGTGAGAAGTGTGAAGTGTGGACTGTGAAGTGTGAAGTGTGAGTGAAGTGTGGGGTGTGAAGTGCGAAGTGCGAAGTGAGAAGTGTGAAGTTTGGAGTGTGAAGTTTGGAGTGGGAAGGAAGCAGTGAGAAGTGAGAAGTGTGAAGTGTGGACTGTGAAGTGTGGAGTGCGAAGTGAGAAGTGTGAAGTTTGGAGTGTGAAGCAAGCAGTGAGAAGTGAGAAGTGAGAAGTGTGAAATGTGGAGTGGGAAGTGTGAAGTGCGAAGTGAGAAGTGTGGACTGTGAAGTGTGAAGTGTGAAGTGTGGACTGTGAAGTGTGAAGTGTGAAGTGTGGACTGTGAAGTGTGAAGTGTGCAGTGTGAAGTGTGGACTGTGAAGTGTGAAGTGTGCAGTGTGAAGTGTGAAGTGTGAGGTTTGGAGTGTGAAGGAAGCAGTGAGAAGTGTGGAGTGTGAAGTGTGGAGTGTGAAGTTTGAAGTTTGGAGTGCGAAGAGTGCAGTGTGAGGTGTGGAGTGTCGAGGGAAGGACACGGTCGGGACAGGTTGTCTTTGAACTATAGGTCATTTATGTTTGGGAAACTTCCGCCGCCGGCTTGCCCGGGTCTATGTTATGTTTACCAGGCCGGGTATATCGAAAGGAAAAACATCCATTTGCCACATGGTTTGCATGGCCAGTGGCCAATGGGCTTCTGACCTGGTTTTTGGCGATGGAGATACTTGGTTCATATCCCATGCTTTATTGCTTCATGGTTTAAAAACACACTATGGCAGTGTGTCAAAACCAATAGTACCCCTGGTGAACATCAAAATAGCTGGTAAAGGGATGTTCATCCCCCTACCCCCTAAAAATAGTATTAATAGGTATTGATCCATACCCATATGAGCCACCGCAAAAACCCCGGCAAGACTAAATATATGTATTGGACGGACATTGGTTTATAATGGTTTATATGGAAATTGATGGAAATTGTAAGCTAATTTGGACCTTCCCAAATTAGCGATACCCCTTTTCAAGGTTATGTCATTAATG